ACCTCTCGGATCGCGCAATTAGAGCCTTTGTCAAAAATCGGCCGACCGATAATAACGAGCGCCTAATTGGCCACTTTGTCAGCGGGCGACCTGTCGCGCACCCCGCCCGCGTATGTGCCAACCGAAGGCGCTCTCGCCAAACGAAAGACGCGTCTGTCGCAGCTAAGCGTCTTCATGTTCTTATTGTCATCAGTTGCCGGTGACACATCCAGATAATTGCACAACTGACTGAAAATCGGATTTGCCATCCAGGATACATGTTGATACCGAAAACGATGGGAAAAGAAGAATTGCAACCTGAAGGCCACTTTTTACCTGAGGAAAAACTAGAATGGGCTATAATTGAAATTTATTTTTCAAAGAAGAACAAAAACTTACTCAACTGAGGCTCACTGCAGCGGATGGGGTCTTTTTGATCACGGAAGCTTTAGCAAAATTCTTCCTAGCGTTGGTGCCGTTTTGTCCAACATTTTTTGTTTAATTTTTGAGCAATTGAATTAAAAAATGAATTGTAACAATGTGGATAAATTAATAATATACTGTTAATTTTAATTAAATGTTCTCTAAAATCTATATTTTGCCAAATAATATTTAAATTTGATATATGAACATGAAAGATTAAGTTTTTACCCTGAAAAAGGTGAAATACCTTGCAAATATGTAAAAATTATGAAAAGTAATGCGTATAATGTATCAATTAACATGTTTATGAGATCACCGAGTCCGAATCGTTGATAAATATTTCTGATTTCCATTGTTTGTTGGCTTCTGGCACCAGTTTGGCAGGTGGAAATGGAGAAAAAACATTCAATCGACCTGTCTGTTGGATTTCGGGGGTGGGGTCGCGGGGGTTGAGCGGCGGCACGGTGCCAAATGGGCCGCCCAGCCAGCGAAACGCTGGTTGTTCAAAGCGGCCGGGGCGTGATAAGGCGCTTTTTGCAGCAGCAGCATAGTGCAGAGCGAGAGCGCGCGCGACGCGAGAACAATGCCCTCGGCCGATGATGAGCGTCGTAATTAAGCGCTTTGCATCTGCGCCACTTGTCGTCGTCGTCGATGCCCCCGCGTGATTTATCGCGTCAGACGGAAAGAGAAAGAGATGCAAAAGTTGCATTCTCGCCAACGCTCTCGAGTCCTTTTCCTTTTTGGCAGCGGCACTCCTCCGAGGGGCGGTCCAGCGAGCAGCGAAATTGAATTCGACGCCCTCTAATTTCGCGACCCACATTCGCCTGATTATCGTCCGTTGGCAGCCATAAGGGATGGCGGCTGCAGTCAGGGTCGGGGCGCGTGAGCCGAATTCATCTTTTCCCTTCACAAAAGAGAGCGACCCTCGTTCTATCTGCTGTCAATTTTCGCAGGCGATTTATCGACACGAATCAGAATATAAAAGTGTATATGGTAATATGAAAAAGAAGGGTTCAACTATCTTCACTTTTTGCGTCAAAATTCTTTTGGCCTAAAAATAGTGATGGAAACAAAGCCTTCAAAAATTAAAAATATAATCCGAGTGACGAAACCTTGCATTTTTAATTTACTCTGATGTCGAGCGAATTAGTTTTCGATCGCGTGACAGTTCCAAATTTAGCCTCGTGTGTACGCTAGGGATTAATTAATCAAATTCATCAAGCGACACTTGCAGATTATCTATAAATACATCAGCCTGCACATTCATCGTCGCGCCGCCTGTCATTCGCATTTCTCTTCCGTCATGCAATTCTTTGAGATTTACAAATGTTTACAGGAAAATTCTCCTAAACCCGAAGCGATTCCCGATGCGAAAGTCGAAGAGAGAAAAAAGACTTTCCTAATGAAATTCGTCAAAAAATGGTTGCGGCGTGAGTTTATTTATAATTTTTATTTATTTTAATTTTTTTATTTTGCTATTTAAGGGTAGAATTATTTGTTGCTAGAAGTTGCATAGTTTGGAGCTTTCTCGCCAATGACAGTCAATTACCGTAAAGCAGTGTTAATTGACCCGTCGTCGGCGTGAATGAGTACAGAAGCGCCAGGCAGCCAACGTCTGTCCAACGCAGGAAACGACATGACGGACTCACGCCTGATAAGAACGAAAACAAACACGAGCTAGCAAACAGTATAAGGGCGCAAAAACCTGGCGGGTCCTTGGGGCGCGCAACAGAGCGAGACGCCGAGCCGAGCTGCTGATACGAAACTAACTCCTTCTTAATCCGGTGCTAATTCCGAGACGAAACTGCAGAGAAAAAATCGCTGCAAATGAAGCGGAGGGCCGGCGCTAATCCCCGACAGCCTGCTTTGAGTTGCAAATGAGCGCTCTCGGTGCGCTCTCTCGCTAATCCGATCTATTCTGAGCAGTTTCTATTTCGGTCCAGCACTGATTTTTTTCTTCGCAACTTCATAAAGTTTTGTCTGATTCGTTTTCTGCATATAGATTTGAATTCGTCAGTCGGAAAAGTATAATTTGATAATTATCTAACTCTACTGGTTTTAGTCGCAAAACAATCCAACCTTTTTCAGGGTAAATTTGCAAAGGTATTACAGGTTCTGAAAATGAATGGGATTTTCTTTTCATTTTAATTTATTTAGGCAGAAATCTGAGCGCATCGATATAATATTAGAAAACTTTTTTAATGGAAATATATTACCAGGGTAATAGGTACCCTGAAGGTTGGTCCGGTTTCTTTCATAAATGGATCCACCATGTAGGGTGTCATTTTGTATGTTTTTGTAAGCGGAGAGAAAGAATCCTAGGGCAAAAGTGGCCAATTCACACATAGAAAGCCGTAACAATAAATTTGTGTAAAAAATGCTTTTGTCATTCAACGACCCGAGTCTAGCAAACGAAATGCTTTGCTCTTTTCCAGCTTGTTTTTATTCGCTCGCCGCCGGGTACTTTTTCCTCTTCAGTCGGTTGGAATTTGGGTTAAACTAACTGACTAACCGGTGGCGGGGGTGTTTGCTTTGCAAATGGGCCTCTCTTAATTTCGCGCGCTTTGCCCGCAACACACACACATACTCTGTTCGTGGAAGAGAGGCAGCAAAACACTGAACCGGCGGGGCTTCTCGGCCGATTTCGCTCTCTGCGCGTTTATTGATTTGTCGCCGCCGCCGCCGCCCCTGAGTGTCGTCGTCGAAAAACCCGAAAAAAGCGAAACAAAAGGTCAAAGGGCGAAATCGTTACCCGCGCCGAGAATTCAAAGCACATACACACATACACGCTTTCCGTCCAAATTAAAAAATTCAGCAGGCCTAAAAATATACGCGCGAGCGCGAGCGAGCTTCTTTTTCTCCGTTTCCCGTGCTGCGAAGGGCGGCGGGCGCAGCGACGGATAACAGCGCACACAGAGAGCGAAAGAGAGAGAATTGTGTCATGTGTTGGCTGTTGTCGTGTCCTGTGTGTAAACGCGCGGGAATTATTCGCGAGCGCGCACTTGGAAGGTTTCTAATCTGGACTCTCTCACTCAACCGGGGATTTTCAGGCCAAACATAAAAACATATGTGCACTCCTGAGCAACAACCCCGAAGGCGGAAATATACTGATTACAACGCGAGACATCCGCAATATGCAAAATAAAAGGCTTATTTCCTGCAAAACTTGCGGCAAAATGATGAGATGCGTCGTGTTATCATTAAGGAAACTATCATTTTTTACTGCATCTTTATTATACTGAATGAAAAATAGTCTCTTAACACAACGTTGCAATATGGGGGGTCACTCATTAAAGAGGTACATTTATTTAGTTCATTAAGGTACTTGCAAAGTTTATTTTAATTTTACTCAAATTCCATTTCTAAGTAAAAAAAAAGGAAAAAGAAGGGGGGTTGCAGTAGTTTTTTGCCGCATAAGAATCCATGGAAAGCGGCTTTTTTAGGTCAGTTTTTTTTTGCCTGTACCCTTTATGTTTGGGATGCAGAAGGCACCACCCAATTTTGTCTTCTTTGGGTTGTATCATTATTGAAAAAATAAGGTATCATTTTTATTGCTAGCTTTTCCTTATATTCGTGGCTTATTTTTAAACGCCATGCTCTAGAAACCACAAAATGACAAATTTCCTTGTTTTATTTTTCATCTTGGATTTTAATAATAAAATGAACAATTTTTCAAATTTTCCATATCAAATTTGCGAAATTTTCAATATATTAAATTTAATAACTTACTTTTAGAACTGCAACATTGAGTTGAATGTAAGTTAACTTAAAAACTTGTGCTTTGAAAAATCAGCAACATTCGAAATCAAATAACTCTTGAAACAAAAAATTGTGCAATATAGAACAAATTATTTAAAAAATTATTAATTGAAATATTTTTCTGCAATTTTTCTCCCTTCCAACCTTTACGATGTCAATTCAAATTGAATTTCTGTTTATTTTATACAATGTGAATGAAAATAGTTAATTTCTCTCGTTAAAAATATTATGAAAGAAAAATCTGGAAAAATTTATAGAGTTTAGAGTTTCCCATTACTATTCAATTATTAATTTTTTTCAATTATTTAATATCTTATTTAATTTTCTTAAAATAGTTAAAATATCTTAAAGCTTTAGATTTGACACAAAGCACACATTCAGTTAATGTGTGAAGCTAAAAATTCAACAAAAACACTTCTTTCTTCAATTATTATTTTCTTAATATAGAACCAAAATAGATTGAGTATTTCTGATTTAATTACCTTGAAAAAGGCATTTTAATTTGATTAATATCAGGAAATAAACAAAATAAATCTTGTGCAGTGTCCTGAAAGTTTTTTTTTTTAAATAAGTATTCCGTGTGTTTGTCTGCGTCATTTTTATTATCAGACGGAAGTCGGCGGATAATGAAATAGAGTCATCGGTCAGTCAGTCTATCCAATTTATAGTACAAATCGTTCACGCAGTAAAACACAGCAGCGAGCAAGATAGGGTGAGATAGAGAGAGAGAGAGAAAGAGGATCAATCAGGTTCGGGTGGTCGTCGCTCGGGGGCGGTCGGGGGCGCGCGTGCTCGGTGCAGGCGTTGGTGCTCAGCCTCGGCGGCGGCTGCCGTCAAATGGAGACGTAGTGCGGCGGCGGCGGGATGCCCGACTCGAGGTTCACCACCGAAAAGATCGCCGATGAGGGCGACGGCGCCGGACAGACTCCCCCGGCTGCCTCCAGCCCCAACAATGTCCGCGCAGGTGAGTCTCTCAGGGTCCTCAAGGTCCGTCCTGGCCCCTGCGGGGCCCCACTGAGGGCCTGGGCGACTTTGCATCGATCCGATCGCACGCCGGCCGGGACCAGGCCATCTCACAGCACCGGGACTTTCCGATCCCGGCGGGTGGCAAGACGCCGATGTATTGGGTACTCTATCTGATCGCTCAGCAATTCCCTTACGCGCTCGTATCTTGAATAATAAACCGGTTGAAATTACAAATCGTGTGGATTGGAGGAAACTCCCTATTTTATTTTAGGAAGAGAGTAAAATTTATTAATTCTAGAAGACTGTATTCAGATAATTTTCCAAAAGTTTTAATTGAGAAATTATTGATTAACAAAACATAATTTTTTTGTAACTTATTTGGTTAATTGAATTTTAATTTCTAACTTCCCATGTACAGGTTTATCCAAATATAGAGGAATTTTCATTATTCAGAAGTTTTTATTGCAGATTTTTTAAATTTAATTTAAGGAGACGTGCCCTCTTACCTTTTTACTAATAAAGCAGAAAAGAAAATTGATATGAAGGATTTATTTGAGATTAATTGATTATCAACAAACAAATTTTATATCATTAAAAATTTGGCAAGAAATATTGATATTGATCTTTTTAAATTTATGAATCTATATTTTTTCTTATCTCCATGCTCTAGAATAAATTAATTATTGTTTTTTTACATTACATTTCCTTTTGCAGATATTGATTTTTTTTTTATTATAAGATTATTATATTTTTATTTGACATTAACAATTTATTTTACTCCTTGTAAAATTGTACTTAATTAGTTAATGTTAAGCTCATTCCACACAGTTACACAAGTTTTGAACGTCACTAAGAGTCGATTTTGAAATTTCTGGGTCATAATTTAAGATCAGATCAAATCGATTAATTGATCACCCCGTATAAATGCAATTTACTTAAGATATTATGTAACTTATCACAAGGGTATCACAGCTTGCGTGTTTCGTTTATACAATATGACAATTTACACGTATATATAAAAAGAACAAACACCCATTCGTGCTATTCTGTCAGTTGGAGCGGCTATAAAATATTTGTGGGCATGCATCACAAAAGGGTGACAGAGAATCTCTCAGAAATACTTTTATAGCTAGGTGGGCAAATAATTCATAAATGAAATGGACGCGTCATTTGATTGAAAAAATAATTTCTTTTTTTATTAATAATAAAAAAAACAATAAAGTATAATAATAAAATATTTCTATTAAAAATTTGGAGTAGAAGAAGTAAAATTTATGAAATTAATTGAAAGCGTAAAAAGTGTTTTGAAAAAGCCGTTTTTGATTCAGCTTATTTATTTAAGTAGAGAATAGTGTAATGACGTCATTATAGTAGGAGGCAATTACCTAGATTGTGTAAAAAGATGTAGACAGACAGGGCCTCTTACTCTGAAGTGGTAATCCTGCCTATTGGAAACGGTCTGGTTCTCAGAAGTAATTGCACTTTGAGACGTTTTATACTGCTGGTTTCGACTCAAATGAGCTTTTTGATGGCGTTCATAAATTTCCAGCCCGTACAGACAACTCTGGTTACAGTTGAGCGTCTCCATTGGAAAACGTAACAGGAGTTTTGCCATTAAAACGAGATTTCTTCGCTATCTAAAAAAAAGAAAATTGGTAACAAAACTAGCGTTTACACAAATTCTAAACACGCAATTAAAAGAAGCACGTGGTTTAACACAAAATTTCATTTAAAAAATTTTACCGAGGCAAAAAGTGTATTTTTAGATTTTAAAAGCGTATAATTTTATTCGTCAACTCGCGCCGTGGGACAGAGGGTTGTTGCTAATTCGCAGGTAGGGTGAGAGCGAGAGCGGTGGCGATGAATAATTTGGGACAAACGGCCGCATGTCGCCGCCGCGTTTTATTTATTTTCACAGAGAGAGCAACGGGCAATTATCGAAATGGCACGCGATAAAAGGCGGCCGTAAAGCGGAACGACCCTCGACCCTCGGTAATTTTTTGTGCGGACGCGCGTGTGTGTTTTCGGCGGAGAGGGAGGCGAGGTATGCAACGTGCCGCGCATCGCCGTCCGGCCGGTTGCCTACCTTTCGAACGTTTAATTAATCAAAAGCAGGACACGCGAGAGGAAGAGCCGCGAAAATAAACAAATTAACACGTTCCGTCCCTTGGCACGCACGGCCCAACTTTTTGTGAAACTTTCGCCCAACTTTGCATTTTTTCCTCTCTCTGCGGTATTAAGAAAGGGGGAGAACGAAGGAAGATGTAAGAAAAAAGGCGGAAGGAAACGTCAGTTGTGTGTGTTTTTTGTTTTGTTTGGGCAAAATTAATTGCAGAATTTTTCCTTTGTCCGCGCCTTCGTCGATCGCGAAAGAGGTCGAGTGAGTAAGGAGCGATCAATCGGGCGCCGATCCCGCTGAGCTTTGTCCCGTCGGCGGCTCGTGCCGGTTGCCTGGCAACTCGCTCCGTCTCTCACTCACTCAGCGAGATGAGGAATTTCGCATGCAAAACCCACCCGACGGCCGCACCCACGACGCAGCCGATTGCCACTCTCTCGCCGAGTTCAAAGCACGAGTTTCAAACTCTCTCGATACACCTACCGCAAACCTGATAAATAACACAAACCCGCATCAGCGTTCTGTACGCAACCTAAAGGGTTAATTTTTTGCTCTAAATAACCGCAGATTTAAATTCCACAAATGTGTGCTGCGTTTGATCAGCATGTTTTGCTTAATAATCCTATAAAATAAACGCTTAAGCATGACTAAAAAGTTTTTTCATTTATATTTCAATTTTCGCTAACAAATTTATGCCAAAATAATTGAAATTAGAAATTTTTGTACTGGCCTTTCTCATGGATTTATAAAATTCAAAGTAATCAATTTCTATAAATTTTGTGTTTGGTAGAATAATATTTATTTTCAGCTATAGTTAACTCAATATTACTATTAAATAACATCTTATGTATATTTAATAATCTAATATTAGGACAGATGAAAATTTTGAACAAAATGGGAGTCTGTGAAATAGTTTATTTTTGTTAAAGAGAAATTCCATCTGTCTGACTTGCAAAGTAAATAAAAGTTATAAGCCTTTTTCGCATTTCTTTCATTGCTCTAGACTCTTGCAAAGAATCAAATTATTCTGTATAGCACGTCCATATAGAACGCTCATTAATTTCCAAGTTTATCCCTCTACTACATCAATCCAAGTCATGTCTGTCAGGATTAGGGTCTCTCCCATCTTGTCTGATATATTAAGTACTAAAAGTTTATCTAACACGTTTAACTTTAACGTTGATTAAACCTACAATTTACATAATCAATTAAATATATATAGTAAAATAATATAATACATTTTTGATAGCAATTTCTTTAATGTATCCATTTTTAGAAATGCCAGAAAGAAATTGTTTTGCAGTTTTAAAAAAAACAAATTTAAACAGTGAAGAAAGTCAAATTCATAAAAATTGGTGTCACAATTTAAAACAATAAATAATAATAATGAAAACTAGCTTGAAATGTGACTAAGATTTTTTTTTTTTTTTTTTAGCAAAAATCACTAAAACCTTTTTTGCCGACATGCAAGTTGCAAAACATACAGGCGTGAGAGTAGTGCGTGTTTTGGCGCGATGCAGCTTCATTTATTCAGACAGTGCTGTCAGCCGGTTGCAAGCATTCAAGATAATATATTTAGGCGTTCTGACCAAAAAAATGAAATGAACATTGGGTGCGTCCAGGAAAGATTTGAGGGTAAATGTTAAAAATTTTTCTTGAAAACATGCCATTCCAATTTTCAAGTATGTTGTTGGGGTGGTCAAGAAGCCTCGCTCACCAAATTTTCAAGTCAAAATAAGGAGTGCTTTTCCGGGAAATCAGTTTTTTCCAAAAACAAAAAATATGGAATATCTTTGCTCCTATTGAGAAATTATTAATGATCTTTTCACTTTCAGACGTAACTTTTTACGCCCGACAACTTTTCTGTTGACAACTTTTACGTAGGTCAAAGGTCAAGGTCACTACATTGCAAATTTCACTTTCTGACGCAATTTTCGCAAAGAAGCACCCCTCAGAAATTTTTCGCAGTATAGGAAAAAATGTAGCCCCAAGTGTGTAGAACAACATCCTGGATTTCCAGAATGGCATTATTTTTAGTTTTTAATTAATTTTAAATGAATATTAAAAAACAGTGAAAAATTGCTTTTCCGCAATAGAAAGTAATTTTCAAACAGCGATAACTCAGTTTCTCTTAGAGATACGCAAAAATGTTATAGAACAAAAAAGATTTGTTTTGACGTTTTGCATCTAGCCATGTATTGTTTATACAGGTCAGGTCACTTGGGGTCATTGACCTCGGTGACCTGTGACCTCAAAAAATAATTTGTAGAAAATGAGCTTATTAAAACCATTCCATAAAATAGTTCTTCCTAACTATGTGCCAAATATTCAGTAAACTGCTCTTAAAGGTCACAGGTCACTGAGGTCAATGACCCCAAGTGACCTGACCTGTATAAACAATACATGGCTAGATGCAATAAGTAAAAAAAAATCCTTTTTGTTCTATAACATTTTTGCGTATCTCTAAGAGAAAATGAGTTATCGCTGTTTGAAAATTATTTTCTATTGCGGAAAAGTGATTTTTCACTGTTTTTTAATATTCATTTAAAATTAATTAAAAACTAAAAATAATGCCATTCTGGAAATCCAGGATGTTGTTCTACACACTTGGGGCTACATTTTTTCCTATACTGCGAAAAATTTCTGAGGGGTGCTTCTTTGCGAAAATTGCGTCAGAAAGTGAAATTTGCAATTTAGTGACCTTGATCTTTGACCTACGCAAAAGTTGTCAACAGAAAAGTTGTCGGGCGTAAAAAGTTACGTCTGAAAGTGAAAAGATCATTAATAATTTCTCAATAGGAGCAAAGATATTTCATATTTTTTGTTTTTGGAAAAATCTGATTTCCCGGAAAAGCACTCCTTATTTTGACTTGAAAATTTGGTGAGCGAGGCCTCTTGACCACCCCAACAACATACGTGAAAATTGGAATGGCATGTTTTCAAGAAAAATTTTTAACATTTACCCTCAAATCTTTCCTGGACGCACCCCATTATTTTTATATAAATTAAATTTAACAATGGTGAATTTTTTTATTACTAAACGTTTGTTTATATTCACTTTGCTTAAAACCCAAACAATAGCCTGCTTTTAATTACAAAATGTAATTAAAAAATAAATCAACCAGATTCCCAGACAATACAGAATGAAAGAAATGTGAAATGAGACATAGAAAGATTTATTCATATCTCCCCTTCTGCATAGTCTGCAGTTTTTTTCCAGCAGCAAATAAAAAGAGAGAAAAAAACGCGGGGGAATGCATATTAAAGTTGGAAAGCTTTTACTTTGTTTGCGTTTATTTCTGAAAATGCGGGTGTTTGTGCCAAGAAGTGCATTTCAAGCAAGCAACAGAGACAAACGATTATCCCACTCTTGAGAAATCCATTTCAATTTTCAGCTCGAGTTGGAATAAAATGGCGCGTGCACTTCAAAGGCTGTGAATTTAACACACGACAGGGTTTGTTCCTCTCTGCGGAAAAAAATAACCTAGCAGCTTTTGCGCCAAATTCCGAAACGCCACACGCTTGACAGGTCAATTAACTGTGGCGTGTTTTGAATTTCGAAACTCACCCTCGGATTTGTTTTGCCGGCTTATGCGTAAACAAGCCGAAACGTCGCACTCGCTGGCCGAAATAAATTTGGCTCGCGAGCGAGCGAAGACGAGGAGACGCTCTCGCACTGCGGCAGCCGAGTCGGCGCGCATTAATCAAATCGGCGTCCGAGTGTCACCGTGGTGATTACAGTCGGCGGCCGAAAAGCCACCCTGACGCAGCACTTTTGCAAAAATCTCTTCCGCCAGCAGTATTTAATGGCGAACAAAAGTAATAAAAAAGAGCGAAATACGTGAAATGCATCCAAGAGTTGGCTAACAGGTCAGCAGCCGGTCACGCAACCCTGCACGGATCGATGCCGCGAAATATCGGGGAAAAGCAACACAAAGGACGCGTTATTGTTTCTGACATACGATAAATCTACCCAAGACGGCCAGAATTTATGGCGCATCCGCCACTACCGGTTTCTCCAGCAAAAAGGGAATGTTGGCAGACGTGTCTCGAACTGCGACAAAGAAATTCGTCGTTCGACCCCAGCAATTGAATTATTGACCTTGCAAACATATAGATCGATACCCAACATGGCATAGGTTGTGGAAGAATTATTTTCAGGGTAGTGAGTACCTTTGTCAGGGTAATTAGTTTAACTATAATATATTGTTTTAGTACATTAATTGTTTCATTAATTTTACAGATTTAAAAGAAATAATTATTATTGTTAAAAATTACTTTATGGGTATTTCAGATACTAAATAATCTTCACATTGAAAACTGAAAATTTATTTATTTATTCTCCATTCAGATACATTCTATGCAATTCTATGCCTATTTTTTTTTTACTATTTCTTTCTAATTTAAAAAACTGGCTAATGAACAAAATTTATAAAAATTCATTATTTTTTAATAACTTTAAAAACATGTATAAAAAAAAACTTTATTGCTTTTCCTCATTCCAAATATTATTATTGTTGTTTATTTGCCCACATTGTTTCAAATTGATTTTTTACATTAAATAGTTGAAAACAATGTATTTAAAAAAGGAATTGTTGGACAAAACGGCACAACTTTTTAATTAACTAACCTTGCTATATTAAATTTCAAGCTTATAAAGCTTAATTAAATTCAAGTTAACAACTTTAATCTCGAAAGTACCGTTTATTCAACCCTTTCTTCCCCAACCTGCCCCCGAGCCACGAAATTGCACAACAAAAACTAACCTCGCTAGCAGATGTCGCCGCTATTGTGTGTGTTTTTTCTCTCTACTTTTCTCTTTTTTGCTGCTTTTCTTTGCCGGCCGCGAAAATTATTAAATTAGACACGCCCAGCATTGAGCTTTTTGTCCAGCGAACGTCCGCCACACGGGGCCAATAACTCGGTCGGCAACAAAAGAGACCCGCAGGTGCAGCTTAATTAATTGAAACATCAAAAGCATCTCACTCCCCACCGCTGTGTGTACGTCACCCAAAAAATAGAGCGTGCGGCCTCGGCGGCACAACAACGAGGGCGGACAGATGGGCTCCTTATCTTATTTCTGATAAACGCGCGCCCAGACACGCAATTTGCCACTTCCGTTGTTGTCCCGCTCGCGCGAACTTTCACTCAAACTACCCAGACTAGATTTCGGCGCCAACAACTCTGCATGCAAACTTCATCATGTGTGACATTTATGGCGAAAACAAACTTAAAAAAAGCATGGTTAAATTTAAATAAATTACATATTTTTTTTAATTCCAGTAATTAAATTAGAGGAAAATTATTAATGTTACAGTGACCCTGAGCATGAGCATGAGGCGTGGGTCAAAAGTACATCTTGCTGGGTGTCTTTTGATATGTTTTTGGGTGTGCTAAGGTCGCACGTGAGGTCAAAACTCGATTTGGTGCAACCCAAGCGTCGCACCGGAAGATGTAGTAATTCACCGCTCCCCGTCTCCCTTCCGGGATGTTTACCTGCGCAAGAGGCAAGGGTGAATCGAATCGAAAAGTCATCCACCGAATTCCTGCGGAGGGACCGGACGTCCGAAAGGGGTGGGCGGGGCGTACCCTCCCCGCGCGGCCCGGGCAGGCGGCTGCACGTGCTGCTATCGATTGGCGGGCGCGCTGCATCCGCCGCCGCACCACTGACACATTTTCGCTCCCCAGCATCCCAGCGCCCCGCCAGCACGGCCACGCCGAACCGAAATTGCCCAAGACTTTCTCGTCTCCTTTCCGCCGATCGTCGGGGCGAAATTAATTGGAATGGGCGCTCGAGCGCGCAAGATATTCTCCATTAGAGGAAATTAACAGAGTGGCTCGTAAAATCCGCCAATATTTCTTTTCCCATTAACTTTTTTTACGTCCAACGTGGGAGAGAGTAGATGAAGGGAGAGAAAAAAATTATAAAAAAGTGTGGAGGAAATTAAGTTCTAGTCAATTGATTAGACCTGGCTTAATGGACGTAGAGGGCGGCGGCCTTGACTTTGTTTCTTCTCTCTGAACGGTCCGAATGACGGATGGGCCCATCAAACGGGTGCGCGCGCGTGCCTCTCTCTCGCTCACCCGCTCTCTAGCCGGAGACCGAAATAGCCGCCCAGAGAGTACACCTGACGCGGTCGTAATTTTGTTTATCTGGCGGCGAGAGCGAGGAGCGCGCGTAAAAGATTTACCGCCCGCTAATTTGATCGGAGCCATTCAACAGCCGCCAGCAGCAGGAAGCGCGCCTGCGAAACAAATCAAACGCGACACCTGAATCGGCACTTAATCCAAATGGAAAGGGTTAAAAAGAGGGGAGGATTTCTGACCGATTTGCTCGGCCGTTCGTCTCTCTCGTACTTGCTTAACCAATTAAAAATAGCACCGCCGATTAATTATCAGAGGTGCCCACGATGACGAGAGGGCGGGCGAACAGGCGGGCGGATTTTTTGGCGTGCCACCAGCCGCGCTATTTTCGGCCAAATGCAATTGTCCTGCGCCAACCGCCGGCTTGGTGCGCGGCCGCCGCACGTGAGCGACATTCGCGCTGTGGACGCGACGCGAGCGTGCAGTTGCATCGCACCAATGCCAGCGCTACGTGAGTATTCGTCGTCCGCGGCCGCTCTCAAATATGCGGACGCACGCTTGGAATGGCCTATTTTCGCGGCAGTTCCATCCGAAGATGCCTAAAGTGTATTTTTAGCTGGCAGTTTTCATATCTATGTGGAGTCGCAGGGGGTTTGCCGTTGCTTCTATTTAAAATTGAACCGCATATTTGAAATTTTTACCCGCAAAAATCCCTATTTTGATACCAAACATGCCCATCTTTAGAGGTTTAGAATTCAACCCTTTCAGGGTAGTACTCAGGGTTCTTGGATCTGAAACAGATTTTACCTGAACTACCCAAAAAATTATAATAATTTTAATTTAAATTATTTTCATAATATTTTATAATATATTAATTAGCAAAATTATATTAAAAAAAATACTTGATACTTTTGTGTATAGTATACCCTGAGACGCCCTGAGAAAGGTGAATATTTCAACTTCCCAAATAAAACCATGTTGGATATCATTCTATAGGTTTTCAAGTATTCGGAGTCGATATAAGAGGTCAGATTTTTCATCAGATTATCCCACCTCGATTTATGTGACTTTCACTGCCGACTTTTCCTCGCTTTTGACGTGTATTCAGAGTTACGAAGCTAATGGAATTCATGAGCTGAAGGGGAGCGCATCTTTTTCATGGTAATCGGCGCGAGTTATGTTAATGCGGCGAGAGGCAGGGCGAAGTGGCTTTGGCGGCGCTAAAAAGCCATTCCGCCAGCGGATTACACGACAACAAGCCGGCCGGCCCGTGCTGTGTTGGAAAAGACGCGAGGCTGCACGCGACCGGCAAATTGCGAAACAAGTGGCTTTCGCGTGGCCTCCGATTCGTTTCTCGCGCGCGCATCGATCGCTTTTTAGTCAGTCTTGTGAGGAACGAAACAAAACCCCCGTGTTGAAAGAGCCCAATCAAAACAAAGCACGTCTAATTAATTTCCTCCCATCAAAGTCACTTTTACTTTTATTTGGACAATTAACGAGCGCGTTGATTGATTGCAAGCGAGATGCGATCGCCCGCGGTGAAAAATGGGACTTGCGTGTCCCACAGGTGTGAAGTTTGCAGCACATAATTGAATGAGTTTTATCGTTCTTGTTTCAGGCGATTCAGGCGGCACCGCCGAGAGCGGTGGCGTCGAAAAGCAGGCCAGCCTCGACACCAACCTCTACCTCTACCAGGTCAGTACAATATAAAAATTTCTTGAATTCTTTTTCCTGACAAAAGGAGAAAAGCCCGATCCTTCTGCCCTTCGTAATAAGGAGCAACTTTTGCTCTCGAGACCCGGCCGAGCGCTGTCGACAAAAGGCCCTTGTTACTTCCAGGCACGCGGCCACGCGAAAATAATAAATTTCGCCCTTTTGATTATGCAACCCCGGCGCCGCTCGGGTGAAAATTACATTTTTGAAATGAGAAAAGTTGCCTTTTTGGAATTCAGCGTGAAAAATGTACACTTTTGTTAAATTGTTCTCCATCAGAGTGGAAGGGTTGAAAATCATAATTAGTTTGCTGGGCGCCCGCAGTTAATTTTTTTATGAACTGGCTATTTACACATTTGAAAAACACCAGCACAACAATATAAAAAATAGACAAACAATTAATATTTGTCTTGTCACGGAATTTAATAAATTTGGTTTCAATACTTGCTAAGTGAACCATTTCAAAGTTCTATTAGAAAAAATATCAAGGTCTCAGAAACTGAAAAGCGTTTAGTGCGTGGGTCTGGTGTATAGAGTTTGAACACAATGTAGAAAGAATTTATTGTAGCGATTTTTATGTTTTTGTTGTGCGGGTTTCAGTCCAATGCACAAATGGTGAATTGGGAGAGATGATTCATGTTGGAAATTCATCAATGGCTTGTATGCGAATGCTGCTGTATTTTTGGCAGGAAATTGATTTTCTGTAATTCAATAGCAGCAGAAAATACAATAATCTTCTCATTGTATAATATAATCCATCAAAAAATGGCCGAATTTCATTCAATGACGGGAATGAAGATTAATTTTATTTTAGAGGAGAAAATACGCATTGATGAAGAAATCTAAATATTTTTTTGATATTCTCTTCAAACAGATTATATTCACTAGTAAACAGTCTGTGGTCTTAACTTGCTATAAAATTACGTGGCCATGTTAATAAGTTCAGAAATGTATAAGCAGAGTATTATATTTAACTTTCACCCTCCTAAATTCCTAAATTGATATCTGGGTCAAATGTTTGTTTTGGTGCTCATGTAGTCCATTTTCAATTTGGACAGTTTGCCAATTTTTTTTTTATAAAAAATATTTTTAACGAAATCAAAGTTTATTTATATTCTTTAATTATAGGAGGTGCCAAAAATTATCATTTTATACTGTTTATTAATTTTTTTAACTATAAATAATTTCAATATCACGGAGAAAGGAGACATGAAGTTAGGGAATCAGAAATATACTTATTTTTAAATTAAAAATGTTTTCAAAGGGAAACTTATTTAGAGAGACACACACAATTATTTCTGATATCAAAGGAAACACAATACGTATATAGTTCACTCACAGTCCCTGTCATTCAATCGAAATGAGAATTTCCTCTCTCAGATTTTTTCTGAACTTTTCCGTCAAACTTTTCCCACTTATCTCGTTATTACACGCTCCTTTTTCTCGTCCCGCTCGCTCTCCACTCGATATCGAGAGAGAGAAGAAAAGAATGAGACGAGCGCGCGGCATTGAATGCTTGGCGAAATTAATCGCCAACGCAACTTGCAACGAGGGGGTCAGTCGAACGCGCGCGCGAATCGACCCGGCCGATCGACCGGGTTCTCTTCTCTCTCTTTGCTTTGCAGTGGTGAATAATGGACGCGTTCGCGGCTGATTAGGCGCGCATTGTGCGTCTGCCAAAGAGCACAAACGAGCTGGCGATTTGTCGCCCAAACCAATTCCGGCCTCGAACGCGAATTGTTCAACTGCTTAGCACTCTCTGTCGCTAACTCTCTCTCTCTTTCTCTCGGCGGAGTGAAGTTTTTGACGCCGGCTCTCGCAGCCACTTTAGGACTGAAGACGGAGTACATGCATGACGGGAGCGCGAATGCGAAAAGCGCATTAAACGTGCACGCTACTCTCGACACCCTCAGGGCTCCTCCGAGATAGAGAGCGAGAGATGAATTTTCTGCAAAAGGCACTGAGACACGTGGCATTTCGGTGCGGTTTGAACTTTGTGATAGGGGATGATAAGGGTAGCTTATTAACATTTTCGGCCTCTTGAGGTTTTTCCTTTGCAAATTTTTTTTCCGGATAAAAAATAAACAGTGCTTATATCAAGATCCCCGCATCAGTACAATTGTGGAAAATTTGGATTGCTGACGTGCAGAATCAGAGAGTTCAAACAACAATCAAATTGAAGAAAGTCAACACTCTTCTTCTTTTTTAAATAAAGTTTTCATATTTGAATAATGGAATATGAATAAGAAAAATAACTGTAATTATTAATTCGATATTTTAATGATAAAAAAACAGAGTAATAATCAAAATAAGCCTATGTAAAAATTGTGGGGAATAATCAGAGAAACAACAATGCAAATTCAATGGAAGAGATTTTCATCTGCCAATTTGAACTCCGAAAATGCATGAATTGCGGATATTATAATTAGGAGAGGAACAAGTTTTCGTATTATTATTGTTAGTTTATTTGTCAACATTTTACGAATGCATTGTTTATGTTTAATCGAAGAAAACAATTTATTTAAGAAAAAGGAATTGTTGATGAAACAGCAACACCGCTAGCAAGAATTTTGCCAAAACGTAAGTTTTTGTTCCAATCACGTCATCACAAAGGATGGGAAACTGCTCCACTGGGCAGGTTTTCAGCGCGTCCGGGAAGGATATTCCAGGGTCCGGCGATCCCGTAGGCGAAAGATATAATTTCTGCTTTTTTATCTCGCCTAAAATAAAACTGTAAATTAAAAAAACCTCAGAAGAAACGAAAGCAGCAAATTATTTAGTTTTTATACAATTAAAATTTTAGAGAAGTTCAGAATAGCAAAACTAGATTGCACATTTTTTTTGTAGTTTGTAATTTGAAGGCACTAATTTACGTTATAGAAATCTGAAGAGTTTTCATAAAATAAGGACCTGCAAGCAATTTAATTTTCATTTCAAATTTCAAATCATCCTGTCAAGTTAAATTATGAAATGAAAAAATATTAATAAAAACTTCTCCTCTCCAATTACTGTTCCTTCCTAAAATAATTTACAAACTTTTGCATTTCTATTTTAAGTGTATTTTTCCAAGTTTATCGGGAATTGATGAAGACATGAGTCGCTTTGATCGATTGGCCGTCCGAGTCGGCAGTTTGCCCATCAAGTGTGATTACTCTCGCCGCCCCGGCGTTGGTCTCTCTCTTGGGCGCGCGGCAACTTTCCGCTCTCTCTTCGGTGTAAGGTTTCATTTGCATAACAGCGTCGAGTGCAAAGCAAACAAGGAAATTTGCATGGCCGCGCGAGCGAGCGACGGCAGCGGATATGGATACTGTGAGAGCAGAGTGGGCCGTGTAGCATCTGCTCGCGCGGCCGCCAAATTAACCCGTTTCGCCCGAGGAAAGAAAAGGAGAAAAACTGCTGCTCCATCGCCTGCTCGCGTCGCAAGATTGCGAAAGCGTTGGCCGGGAGAGTTATTATAATTATCAAAGGCTAATCTGCAAAAGCAAAGCAAAAGCCGCCGTAAAACGGAATGGATGAAGAGAGAATAATTAAGTTGCAGCAGAATCGAGCGCGAAATGGAAAATTAATTAATCAAGTCCTTTTTGCCTCGTTCCGCGTCTTTATAATGAAACAGGAGATGGCAAATATCAAATCTTGTTTGACGATGTTTTTCAGGCCAAATTCAAAGTTTTAATAAGGACGAAATAAATTTATACTTTGGCAGTGCTTGGGTCCCTCAGTTAAAATTATCCTTCATACTTTTGTCAAAACCAGGCGCTTATCACTGAAAGAATTTTATTTAAAATATGTTTTAAATCTTTTCTTTTGTCATTAAATTGGATGAGTTCATGTATGGGGCATAGTTGCCCTCAATTGAACCCAATAAAAATTCTCTGAAGCTAAAATTTGTGAATTCGGATAATAATATAGGGAAAAAATACTTTATAGATTTACAGGCTGTATTTCCAAATAAAAGTTTTTCCTGTAGGTGGAGACAAATTTTTATTTATGCAACCTTTAAAAAAATATCATAAAATTCGTTGCATAATTTCATGTAAAAGTAAATTAATTTCGTTTTTATTTCAATTGTTGGTTAGATTTTTTATCTAAAGTATGTTATTTAGGTGCCCCATTCCTATTTGAAATTTAAACTAAGCCTAAAAATATCTCCGTCTATAGATTATGAGTTATCAGCATAACCCAAGAAATACAAAGTCATTTAATGCAAATTAATGCACCCTAGAGAAGGGAAGTGGATTGTATGGGATTCCGGAATGAAAAGCATTTCTACGTATTCAAACTCCGTGTTTTGCACGGGTTGCTTAGTGACTGAAATCAAAAAGTCTGTCCAGTTGGAATTTCGTTTGGCAATGTAAAATTAAACTATTTATCAGTAAATGTTCCTGTTGGATAATTCAATAATTTAAAACAAATATTTACCCTTAAATATTTAGATCCTCAGGTTAAATATCAGCAGAAATAAGGTTTTTGCAGGACATTTTTCTATGAAATGTTTTTATTCCATATTTACTTTGGTTCAGATAATTAACGCATCCTTGTATTTGCGGTGTTGCAGGAGGAGTTGGAGGACCGTCCGCAGGTGTCAACGTTGCTCAACTCGTTGGCAAACTATTCGAACACGATCCCTGCGGCCACCGACCCTGACAAGGACAAGCCGGCGGGAGGCGCCGCAGCAGGTGGCGCTCGCATGGGCACCCTGATCGGCGTCTTCCTGCCATGCATCCAGAACATTTTCGGCGTCATCCTCTTCATCAGACTGACGTGGGTCGTCGGAACCGCCGGCGCCCTCTGCGGATTCCTCATTGTGCTCACTTGCTGCTGCGTGGTAAGTTCTCAAACCCATTTACACAAAAATGCACTAAAAATTTCGTGAATAAATGAAATAAACGAAAAAAAAAAATATTAAATAAATATGTCAATAAGGGAATGAAAGAATAAAAATTAAAACAGTAGTTATAAATGAGAACATTATATAATTGTTTCAAAATAATTTTCTACAAGATGGGCAAATAAATTTAACATTAATAAACACATTATACAATATCATTATTTAAATTAAAAAGAGAAAGAAAATTATTTTGCTCATTTATTTATTTTTATATCATTTATCGCATATTAATCTATTTATCATTTTATTTGAATATATCCATAATATATATATTTCTTTTAAAAATGTAATGAGAATTTATTATTCCCATCACTATTTTCAGTTAAATTAAAACTAGAATTGTTATTTTATAATTAAATTCTTATATTATTTACGTACGGCAGGCAACATATATCAAATTGTCTCGCAAAGATATTTTGTCAAGAAGTGAAGTGATCATTTAATAATCCACGTCTTAATAAGAAAAATATCTAATATTTCATTTAAATGTCCAGATTAAAAGTTAAAAATAATAACATTCATGGATTTTTGTAACAGTGAGTAAGAAAATCATCAAGTTAAAACATATTTTTTTTCACCTGCCTCGAACCGTCCCTTTAAAAAAGTAGAGACTTTTAAGCCGGATTTTAGTTTATTTTTTAAGTATAGCAGGTTTTGTAGATCAAAGTTTTCAGGCACGTATAGAGACTTTTTCCACTTTCTCTGTAATTTCGTTTTCAAATCGGCTTGAGAGGGAGAGCGGCTTTTCGCTTTTTGCACGCCGCTAATTGAGCCGGGGCGCGCTGCTTTTCGCGGTGGCGGCCGCCTCTGACCGCAGCACCGGCGGCACTCGGCTTTTCAATGGCCGCGCACGCTAAATAAATTACGCCTGACCTTTTGCTCGGCCCAGAATTTTAGTTGCGAGAGATGAAAATTTAATTGCACCTCCTTTTTGTGCGAAACTTTGTGAATAGGGACGCGGAATTTTACGGCCAAAGTTGCAAACTCAAATAAACTCTGAAATGAAAACAAAATTATTTTCCAGACCATGCTGACTGCGATCTCAATGTCGGCGATCGCGACCAACGGCGTGGTGCCAGCCGGCGGCTCCTACTTCATGATCTCGCGCTCACTTGGACCTGAGTGCGGAGGGGCCGTCGGCATGTTGTTCTACACGGGCACCACACTCGCCGCCGCCATGTACATCGTTGGCGCCGTCGAAATCGTCATCGTAAGTAACACTATTCCAAATTTCTGAAATATTTAAAATAAAATAAAACACAAAATTCCAAGAATTCTTCAAAAGTAAAGAAGCAAAGGTCATCCAACAAAGAAAGTTCATAAGAAAAATTTATTATTTTGAAAATTTAATTAAACGGCTCAGTCGAATCACTCCATAGACATGGAAATTGCCATTCGTTGCTATAATATTTTATTTCAGAACAATTGCTTTATAACCTCCACATTTGAGCTACAATTCCTTTTCACGAGAAATATTCTCATGAAAAATGGAAGCAAAATGATTTTTGGGCCAAGTCATACCAAATTTTAGAAAACTTATTGGAAATTCAAAACTTTTTGTTTTTGGAAAAAATTTCAAATCACTAAAATAATCTGAATGTATCTGGGTCCTGGAATAAAACTATATCATGATGCTTTTAGTTTCCTTCTTCAGTTCTATAGTATTTGGCTTTACAATTTTGGTGACTTTTGGTAACAATAAATTCATTGGTTTTCTAAAAAAAAAAAAAAAAAAAATGAAAAAAAAAATGAAAAAAAATGAAAAAAAAATGAAAAAAAATGAAAAAAAAATGAAAAAAAAAATGAAAAAAACCAATGAATGTTAAAAATCACAAATTTAAAATTTTTAGAAAGAATAAAACAATTTCATGTTATTTTCACAAATTCGATGACTTTGATAAAATATACAGATAACACCAAACACCTAATAGCCAAAATTTATTTTCCCGGCGTAGATCAAATGACAAATTTTCACACATCTGCCATATAGGTCACAAAAGGTAAATGACCCCGACACCTTTTACTGTACAACATTCTTTAACAAAGAGTGGAACATCAGAGGACATGAAGGGGTACATTCTACATCCAGATTTTTTTGTAGCTTCAACTGCAGGAACCAATTTACTATTTTTTTTTTAAATATTTATTTAAAAAAAAAACAACAGCGTTAAAATTAAAATTGCATTTAACTGTTTAAAATATGTGACAATTATGCAGAATAAAAAAAACTTGCAATTTTAGCATAAAGTCATCACTTTGTATCAAAAAAGGTCTATAATTGTATTCACCATTTAATGAACAATTTTAATTTTTTTTTCATCCTCTCGTAATACTTCTTTTATCTTTGACTCTCAGTTTTTGTTTCTCATTCGAATATATGTCAAAAATTTTAGCGGGGTGTGTGTGTGTTGACCTTAATCGCTTTCGCCCGGATTCCTCTTAGCAGGGAGTTGAAAGGCTCCAACCCTTTCAGCTTCTGCATTTTTTCCGTCTTGTTTGCCGAGCAGTCGGGGTGCATGTTGGCCAGAGAGAAAGAGGGAGAGCGCGCGCGTGTTTTTCCGCCGCGGCTGCTCGCTCGAGTGGCGGCCGAGAGCAGGCAGGCGGAAGAGGGCCCCTTTCCTGCTGACGCACTTGCAATTACGCGTCTCCAGCCAGTCCTCCACGTACGCCAAAGCTATACATATGATGTTGCAAAGAAAATGAAAGAGAGAAAGAAAAAAAGCGGCCAACGATTCGGCCGAACAAAAGCCGCCGCCTCAACTTCATTCCGCCTCGGATAATTCCCTCTCGCAAATCACGTGTGGAGAGAGAGCGAAAAAATGTACACAAAAAGTAGTCGCTCGCCGAACAAACCACGTCAAAAGAGGCTTACGCATGCCTTGTTACGAAAACCGGATGAATGCCCTTTCTGACCCAGACTCTCAAAGTTTTATGATTCGTTATAAGGATTTATTTATTTTTGTTGTTTCAGCGTGGTTTCTATTATGAGATATATCATTGAAACAATTCTAATTATCATATTTATTATTAAACAATTAAATTCAAGATTATCTCATTTATTGTGAGATTGCGCGATTTTTTGTTAACTAGATTTATTCAAAATTTAATAATCTAGTCTAAAATAAATATGTAAATGCTTATTTCTGTAAATTAAAAAAAAAATAAATTTTGTGTAGTAATTTTTTATTTTATTTTATTATTAACTTTTGTCAATGGAGAGTCAATTTAAAAATAGATTCGCACGTTTGATAGTTCTTGTTGTATATTCGTCTTCATAAGTTTCAAATTCTCTGCTTGTCAATGTGACATTGTTTTTAGATACGTTGCTCTTTTACGAAAGAATTCAGTTTTAGAATTGAAGTGATATCTATGGAGAAAAGAAATGTATATTCAAAAAGTTTTTGAGTCTGAGCATTTTCTTAAAAGCGGAAGCCATATTCGTATTGTTATCGTGGGCGATGTATGCCTTTTGGAGCACTGATACTAAATTTTTGTAAATAAATTCAATAAAATATAAATAAATAAGATAAAACAATAATAAAAACAGTTTCCTATGAAAATTTTTAATATTTTTTTTTTTAAATTCTTACTCGAAGATCTGTAAATATGTCAACTAATTATGCCGGAATTTTAATGTTCTGAAAGTTTTCTGATCCTTTATGGAAAACTTCCTTAACAACAGCTTAACAGTTATTTATTTCCGAGACATAACACCAAAGTTGCAATATATCGTTCAATAGGATTTTCCCTCCTTTACGTAGGCCTGCTTTATTTATAAAGCTCTGGAGAGTTTCGCCAAAACTCTCTCTGCTGCATTTTGTAGGGCTTTGATTGCAAAGACTTGTCAAACAAAGTTGCACTCCCTCGAGGTTTGCCGCACCATTCTCGATGTATATGCGGAAAATTGGTGCGCGATGGGTAGATTTTGGGGCGACACGTGAGGATCAGCAGTCAGCGTTTTTTTGCTTGTCGACGTTCGCGGTCAACAAGGCCCTCGACGACTCCTCGCTCTCTCTCAACGACACGAAGCGCTGCTGCAATTTAAAGGGCACCTCGCTTGCGAAATCCACCCCCTTGGCGCTCGGCCAGCTCTCCTCCCCGAAAGAAGCACACACACACTTTCCCCCTCGCTTTATTCACATTCAATTCGCAAATCGAAGTGAGATGGAATTAAATCGGGAAATAATTGTGTGTGTTCGCAGACGTACATGGCGCCGTGGCTGTCGATTTTCGGCGACTTCACCAAGGACGCCGAGATCATGTACAACAACTTCCGCGTGTACGGCACGTGTTTGCTGATCGTCATGTCGCTGATCGTCTACGTCGGCGTCACCTTCGTCAACAAGTTCGCCACGGTGGCGCTCGCCTGCGTCATTTTCTCCATCATAGCCGTCTACGTCGGCATCGCCGTCAACTGGCAGGGCAACGACAAGCTCTTGTCAGTATAACGCGCACCATCAATCCTCCCATGCTTTGTTTAACTAACGACCTGCCACAGTATTTACTCGGATATGCTCGCTTTTGATTTATTTGCAAGTTGTCACAAAAAGTTGACACGTTTGCCTCCGTTTTACTCAAAGAGCATCTTGTTTATACTAAGGAAAACGTTAAAAAAAATGAAAGTCTAGACAACTTTCAGAAAGTTTAAATCTTGTGGTTGAGGTCCTCATTAATCTTTGCGTAACGATTTAACGTTATTTTAATAAATAAATATTATACAAAAATGAACAGATAAGAAATGAACTTTTTAAGTTTCCCGCGAAACAGAATATCGCTGAAAATTATTTTCTGAAAACCAACAGTACGCAAAGTTCAATGAGTTCAATCTTGTTCTTAAATACAATTTTAATACCTTGATCGTTTCCACACCCTTTAAAATTTCGAAACTTTTTGCTCGGGGAAAATTTATTTTGAATTCATCCACAGCATGTGCGTGTTGGGTGAGCGCCTGTTAAAGGACATCTCTGTGGAGAACTGCACCAAAGAGGTGGGCTCACAGTTGTGGGACGTGTTTTGCGAGGACCCTGTGGCCATGACCGGCTGCGACCAGTACTTTGAGCAGCACAACGTGTCTCTGGTTCGCGGTATCAAGGGTGTCGCCTCGGGCGTTTTCTTTGGTAAAATTTTCTTATAAAATAAAATTGAGCAATTTGACTGAGACTAAATTTTTAGACAACATTGACAACAGCTTCCTTGATTTGGGTCAATACATTGGGCGCTCCAAGCGACCTGAGGTGATTGAAAACATGTCCGGACAGACCTACAACCAGGTCTACGCCGACCTGACCACCTCCTTCACCATTCTCATTGGCATCTTCTTCCCTTCAGTCACCGGCAAGTGAATTTTTTTTATCGACTTTTGAAAGCCAGAGTGCAAAAGTTTTTAGGCCGTGTGCGCCTGCAAACTTTGTTGTTTATGCATCCCGCTCGTTTTGGCTGTCACGCCGGTTGCATAACTCGGATTTTCTCCCGCAGGTATTATGGCTGGCTCGAACCGTTCTGGTGACTTGGCTGACGCGCAGTTCTCCATCCCACGCGGCACCATTGCAGCTATTGCCACTACTTCGACCGTCTACCTGTCATCTGTGTTGTTGTTCGCCGGAACGGTCGACAACCTCCTCCTTAGGGACAAGTGAGTTCGAAAATTACCATAAACAAAGTTGGCCGTAATTGCTTTCAACGTGTAATGGAATTTTCCATGAATTTTGCAAAATACCTAAATTAATGATACAAAAGTTAATTTGTAGAAAAATAATCTTTAATAATTTAAATATTTTGAATAAAAATTTACTTTCTCATTGAAATAAAATAGAAAATCATAATAATAATAAATTTTTTTTTAGATTTATAGATTATTTTAATGAGTTTGAGAATTTCCTTAAAAATAACTTCAAACTTGAATTTTTAATACTTGTTTACAGGTTCGGTCAAAGTATTGGCGGCAAGTTGGTTGTGGCAAATATCGCATGGCCGAATGAATGGGTCATCCTGATCGGCTCCTTCCTATCCACTTTGGGCGCCGGACTGCAGTCCTTGACGGGCGCCCCCCGTCTCCTGCAGGCCATCGCCAAGGACGGCATCATCCCCTTCCTGCAGCCGTTTGCTGTTTCAAGCTCAAGGGGCGAGCCGACGCGCGCCCTCATCCTCACCGCTTGCATCTGCCAGTGCGGCGTCCTCCTCGGCAACGTCGACATCCTTGCTCCGCTGCTCTCCATGTTCTTCCTCATGTGCTACGGCTTTGTGAACCTCGCCTGCGCCTTGCAGACCCTTCTGCGCACACCCAACTGGCGCCCTCGCTTCAAGTTCTACCACTGGTCGCTCTCGCTCATCGGTCTCACGCTCTGCATCTCTGTAATGTTCATGACCTCTTGGTTCTACGCCCTTATTGCCATGGGCATGGCCGGATGCATTTACAAGTACATCGAGTACCGCGGGTGAGTGAAAATTAATTTATTTCTGACTTGCGGTCATACTTGGATTTAAAATGAATTAAATTTTGAAATCCAAGACAAAACAAAAATGGAATTAGACACCAGCACAAAAAAATAGCTCTTTTTTAAAATTATTTGAAAGCATCTCGCTCTCATAAGTAAATTATTAACGGCGATTATTGAAGTATTTTTAACCTGATTATGTGATAAGAGAATAAAAGAATTTTTTATAGCAAAAACCTGCATGTTTAGTATCGGATATTATGTTTTGGGGTCACCAAAAGTTCAAATGCAATATCGGAATTCGATAAACGGCATTTTTCCATTTTCATTTCAGAGCTGAGAAGGAATGGGGTGACGGCATTCGAGGTCTTGCACTCTCTGCGGCGCGCTTCAGCCTGCTCCGTCTTGAGGAAGGACCTCCGCACACCAAGAACTGGCGTCCGCAGGTGCTGATCCTGTGCAAGCCCAACCCTGAGCTGCACCCCAAGTACCGCAAGATGCTGGCGTTCGCGTCGCAGCTCAAGGGTGGCAAGGGCCTGAACATCGGAACCGCCATCTTCCCAGGCGATTATGTGCCAAACGTGGTCGAGGTTTTGGCCACCAAGCAGAACCTGAAGAAGGCCATGGAGGAAGAGAAGGTCAAGGGCTTCGCTGACGTGATGGCCTCGGCTGACGTTGCTGAGGGTCTTAGTCACATGTAAGTTCTGATCTGTTAACTTTGTGATTTTTCATTGAACCGAAAACATTGTTGTCCTCCTCAGGGTACAGACCATCGGTCTGGGTGGACTGAAGCCCAACACCGTCATCCTGGGCTGGCCCAACGGCTGGAGCAAGGCGCGCCATGACCGCTCGTGGGTCAACTTCCTGCAGACCGTGCGCACAGTGTCTGCCGCAAGAATGGCCCTGCTTGTGCCAAAGGGCATCATGGCCTTCCCTGAGTCCTCCGAAAAGGTACAAAATTTTAAATCTGAAAAATAAGAAACTGCTCTTATTTAATGTTAGGTTAGCGATTTTCTTGTAATTATCTATTTAGTGCGATTTTTCAAAAACCAAGAATCTGAACCTGAAAATTTAATTTTGTTTGAAATGTTTAATTTTAATTAAAATTTTATTTTTATTTATAACCTAGTCAATTTAATAGACATCTATTTCAATAATAGTTTCAGTTTATAAGGTTTATTCAGTGTAAACTTGTTTAATTTTGCTCATATTCATAAATTTTATTGAAACCGAATGCATAATAGTATGCATTACAATTAAATGAACTTAAAAAGCAACAAAATAAATTTATTTTAGCTTCCATATTTTTAGGGCACTTTTCATTGAGGACAAATGAAATGTAAAATTTGGAATAATTTTTTAGGACCTATGCTTTTAGGAAAAATAGAGAAATCAGTTTTAGGACATATAAATTTAGGACAAATAACGGCGACTCGTTTTCTAGCATTCTAATCCTATTAAAACTGATGTAAAAAATAAGAAAAATCCAATTCTGAAAATTTTAGGTGAGCGGCTTCATTGATGTGTGGTGGATTGTGCATGATGGCGGTCTGCTGATGCTGCTGCCGTTCTTGCTGCGACAACACCGCACCTGGAAGAACTGCAAGCTTCGCATCTTCACAGTGGCTCAGCTCGAGGACAACTCGATCCAAATGAAGAAGGATCTCAAGCTCTTCCTCTATCACTTGCGCATTGAGGCAGAGGTGCAAGTGATTGAAATGGTATATATTTTAACAAAAATTTAAAATTCATACATCTAGAAAAACAAAATTTTTTCCAGATGGATTCTGATATCTCCGCTTATACGTATGAAAGAACTCTGGTTATGGAGCAGCGCAACCAAATGCTCAGAGAGCTTCGGCTAAACAAGAAGGAGTCACTGGGCGTGGTACGATTCAAAATTTTTTTAAATTATAAAAGTGAAATTTTCAGATTTAATTTTGTAATGTTATATACGAGACGCGCGGTGGTCAATTACAGTGGCGGCGCGACGGTCGTTGAAACGGCGTCGTAGCTCTGCACCAGTTGCCACTGTGTTCGATCTCTTTCACAAATAATTTAACACTTTTCTCTCTCCACAAGAAATTTAACAAATGGCCGCCAGTTTGCGTAATTTTCTCTTCTGTCCTTAATGCTTTTCTCTCTTTCTCTCGTTGCAATAAACTCATTGTCTTGGACTTGGATTGATCAGGTGCAAAACCTGGTCGATTTCAACCCGGACGCCCTCACCGAAGAGAAACTGCCCCTGGTAACGCAGCTGACCGTTTGTGCATGCCCAAAGTCAACCCAACGATTTGTCTTTTATTTGTGTTTTGTTTGCTTTTCTGCCCACTAAACACAACTGACTAAAAGCACTGACGAATATTTGGAAATCAAAAAATCCTGACAGAAAGTGAAGCAGGATTGGCGCCTTTTTTCAGGACAAATAAAAGTCCTGTGAAAAGCGCCTGTTTGGCTAAATTAATAACGACCGACTAAACATAAACCCTATATTTTTGGTGTGTCAATATTTTGTGTTTCTTCTTTTGGAATCTGGTCTAACTTCAAACGGTCCTCCGCAGGTGCAAGCGATCGTTGACTCGCACCATGGCACTGACGCTAAGGCCGCTTCCAAAGTTCGATTCTCCGAGCCTGGCGCGGGTGGTGAGGACGGAGCCGCCCCCGAGGGTGGCGACGCGCCCAATTCCAAGGGAGGCAGTCCTCAACCGACCCACAAGGAAGTGGCCGAGGCCGATTCGGACAAGACGGTCGCCGATTCCAAGAGTCCCAACAAATCCATCACTGTGTAAGTCCCTTAATAATTAACAAATTTTTGATCCGTTTGACCTTAATTTGACCTCTACAGGGACGAGGGCAATGTGCGGCGGATGCATACAGCCGTCAAACTGAATGAGGTAATCGTCAACAAAAGCCACGAGGCGCAACTTGTGATCCTTAACCTGCCCGGACCCCCGAAAGACTCGTGTCCTGAAAGGGAGTCCAACTGTATCCTTTCAAAAGAATCAAACTTTTTATTAGGGATTGGAAAATCCCTTTTATGAGGGGTTTAATTAACATAAAATCAATTTCATTTAAAATGGCTCAAATTTAAGATTCAAATCTTTATTTTTTAACATCATTTTTTCCTTACAATATGCAAATCCTTATAATAAATTATAAACAAAATCAGAATTTTTATCACAAATGAAAGAATTTAAAAAAATTATAATTTTCATATAAAATGACGTATTTGGAATAAAAATAAGGATTTCAATAAAATTCATCTCCTTTTTTATCAGAAATTTAAAATTACTGATTAAAGATCTATATTTATTTTAAGTGAAATATATTTAAATCTCTTAGGTATAACATCTAAACCAAAATCGGCCAGATTTTCCAAAATTGCAATTTTAATACCAAATTTTGCTTCTGTTTTCCTTAAACAATTTTTTTAGACATGGACTTCCTGGAGGTGCTGACGGAGGGCCTGGAGAAGGTGCTGATGGTGCGCGGTGGCGGCCGCGAAGTGATCACCATCTACTCGTAGTCGGCCGCGCCTTCAGCCGCAAACTTTCAACACCACGCCGCCCCCGGGGGCGTCCTCATCCTCGTCTTAGCCGTGTAGACTGCGTCGTTCATACAAAACATAAACTTTTCTCTCCGAGACGAAACAAAACACAACACAAATAAGAAAGAATTAACACAAAAAGCATCAAAAATCGAATTTCCTCGGTAGACGGATTTTAAAAAGAAACTCGTCGTTTTAAACGCTGAAAATGAATTTAAAAAACTTGAAAAATAAAAATAACGTTGGTCAGAGGACAGCCAAAGGACACACAAACACAAAAAATGAAATGATCACACTCATCTGATTCCTCTTTCGTCGGGCGGTTCCTTTTTGCTCACTTGGAAGAACACGTTTATTGATAGAAAAAAATCCTACGACTCGGCGCCGTGAGCGCCCTCCTGCACCGGAACGACTTTTTCGTTTTTTGCCGACGACCTCTCACTTGTGATATAAAAGAAAAACCAAAACGTTTAGTGCGTGGAAAGAAAGTCCAGCTGCATTTCGGTTATGAATACAAATTCAACACACGAAGGCTGTTTCTCTCGTAGTGATATTTATGATTTTACTGCTGACGGATATAATATATTATAGTAGTCCCATATCTCTCTTGATTCACCTCCCTCCGACTGGTCGGACGAAAAGGAATCTCTCTCTCGTCGCTTTTGCTCAATCCGAGTATACACGCGCGAAATTTCGGAAAGCGCCGTTCGCGGGAGTCGGGCGCTCTCGGCCCGTAGAATATGTATTAACTAATTAATATATACGTACGTATTAGGAAGCTGAACGGACTGAATGTGATGTGGTGAACAGCACCCCCTTTGACCGCCCTCGAAAGTCTCTAGTCCACGATTCCCGCCGCTCTCTCCTTTCTTATCTCTGTGAGATAAAAAAACAAAGAAACAAAAAAAGAAGAAGAAAAACTCGTTCACACACAAAAGCGACTCTTGCTAGCTCACTTGTTGAAATCAAAAAATGCCAAATTGTTCTAATCGTAGTAAAGTGAAGAGAAAAAATTTACAATTTATCACACTTTGGCTGTGCTCGTCAGCTCGCGGTTCGCCGGAAGTCGCCCGAAATTTATTTCTGACCTCGTATTTGAACTCGGCGGGCCAGAAAACCTATGAATGGAAACCCAACATGGACCAACTCTGATAAATTCACAATCTAGCTTATTCAGGGTTTCACACCCTGAGCAGGTTTTTTGCATTTTTCCTTAAAGGTGATCTTGTTGGGTGTCTAATTATGGGTGTTTAGGGTCGCAGAGTGTGAATTTGAAGTTGGATTTTAAATAGGGGTGCGAGTTTCGGGGGACCAGAGCAGTGGGCGCTGCCGGCACGATCGGTAGGGTCGTCTCGGGGCCCGCGCGCGCGTTTGGCACAAAATCCCACGCTCTCTCATCATCTCATCTCTTTTCTACTCAGCGCTCCGGGCCGGCCCACGAAAATTAATGGAAAGCATTAAAACTCTCACTCACTCACTCACGCGTAAAACTAAATTCAATTTAACTCGATTAATTAATTAATTATTACGAGACAGTAGTTCAATGATTATTATCTCAAAAAAGATATATTATGATAAAAATAATCTAATTACGAATATATATTACGAAAAACTAAGTGTTTGGATGTTTAGGTGCTAAATGTTGTGCTGCTGCTTAACAGAGACACTTGAAATACGAGGGAAAAATAATAAAATGAAGAGGAATTATCGCTCGTTGTAATTGTATAACTCTAGAAAGGGCCTTTCTCGTTGTTAATATTCAAGGAAATTTGATTAAATAAAAGGATAGCGTCGTTGAGCGAAAGCTTGCAAATGAATATTAAATAATATAAATAGTCTACGTTAGGCGTTTCTCTATCTCTCTCTTTCTCTCTTTCACTCTCTGCGGAACTCTTAAACGATTAGTAGCGAAAAGGTCCATTCAGGATCCTCCGAAATTCGGGCCGGTGACGAATTTGAGATAAAAATCAACAAAACAATTAAATTTAATTTTATTTCAAATTTTGTGCAAGAGTTTTAGCGCAGATTTCCAAATTTTCATTTAATTGACCATTATGTGTGAGCAAAAATCAAATAATGTTGCAACTTCTCTTGTCCAAATTAATTTTAAGTAAATTTTCAGTTCAACTTTTTTCTCGGTTACGTCAACAGCTACCCTGACGTGCCTGACGTGGCCCTCTTTTCGGAAGGTCCTGATCTATTCAATGTTAGGTCAAGGACAAACAAGTCATCCGCAGGCGATTTAAGTCAATTCTCGTTAACTTAGGCAAAAGCCACTCCGTCGGGACGGAACAAATGAAAATCGGACACGTTGCCCTTGGCCAATTGTTACACGAATAAAATTAATTAATTCTCGCATATAATTATTAATATTATTGAATGTTGAGAGACGCGAAAGAGTTATTTGCACTGCAGGTCGGCCGTGTTTTCCTTTTGACACTATACGCGTCGTTTGCTTAATTTTATTTTTGAACCTCTGCAGGCGAATGGATTTATATTTAAATTTATGAGACATTGTTCGTGCGCCGCGGGGCCGACCGGTTCCCGGCGAGACTCTTCGTTATTGTTTCATTGTCTGATGGTCGTTGATCGATGTGTTTTTCTGTAAAACTCACCAACACATACACACTGACACAAACACACGACTTTTTAAAGAGTTTAATCCATGAAAAATTAAGAAAAATGCAAATAAAAATGCCAAAAAGATTCACGAGAAATTCAATTGTTTCAATCTACAATTTTGCCCACATTAAAAAAAATAGCACAAAATGATAACATTTTTATCTCATTTTAGGGGTAAAATTGAAAACAGTTTTTATGATGATCAACAATACAAATTTTTGTTTTATTGCAGTGTTTCTTTTGAGTGTAGACATTTAGATCAGGATTAACAATTGACTTTTAAACTCAGCAGAGTCTCCAAATCATATTTTTTCTATACAATAATCTTCAGTAATAAAAATAATTATGTATAAAATAGATTTTTGTATAAATTCATCTCACTTACGTAATTATTGCACCTAATTAACGCTAGTTTTCCTATACTCAGAGGAGCAGTATGTATGTACAATAGAGAAGCCAGTGCGTTTTTTTTTTTAATTCTATTTACAACGGGACTTTGTCAGTCACTGACGGAGTCCGTAATTTGTTTCTTTCTCACTCTCTCGTTGCGCGCACTCTTTGAGCACCGTTTCAATTCTTCAGCGGGTCCAAGCTCTCAAGGGAGAAACTATCATTGCCGATGGACAAGCCTCGACTGAATCCGTCCTGACGAAAAATTACATTTAAAAAATAAATTCTGACAAGGAAAGTAATTTTTGCAAACCTTCATCTCCATGATCTGTTGGTCAAAGTGGGCACCAGTGAACTCTCCCATTCCGAAAGGATCTTCTTCACCAGCTCGCGGGTTGAAGTCGTCCTCACTGAAGAGGTCCTTTGAGCCTAGAGAGCGACGGGGCGTTGCCTCTCGTGGAGGCTTTGGTGGCGGAGCCACTGGAAAAAGCAAAATGAGTTAAAATGGTATCACTCCAAATTACTTTAAATTTTATTTGAAAAAAAAAGGAAAAATTCTTACATGGTGGAGGCACAGATGACCCATAGTTGCCGTTGTTGTTTTCCTCGGCCCGCGGATTGAAGTCGTCAATGTCCTCGTCCAGCAAAAGTCCCTGAAGCCGAGTTCCGACGGCTGGGGAGGTGGTTGGCGGCTGTGGCGACTCCTGACCCATGAGGTCTGATATAAGCGACGGCCTTTCAAAGGACCGCGGAGGCACCGGCGGACACTTGAGGCCCTCTGAGCTGGAGGTGCTGCCACCACTGCTGCTCACATACATGGGCTCGTCGCCAGCCGAGGCGCTCAAACTGGCGCTCGAAGCCGAAGTCTCAGTGATATCCGCTAACTGATGTCTTCGCAGATACTCCTGGACGTCTCCCTGGAAAAGCGCAGCATAAATTAATTTTGGAATTGTTAATCAGCAAACAAAATACCTGAGGCGCTATTGCCACAAGATCCTGCAGCCGACGTCTCAGCTCGCCGTTCTCAGATTCGAGCTGCGAGTTTCGGTCTTCCAGAGACTGAATTCTATGCTGCACGGCCAGCTCCTTGCCTGACGTCTCGAGAAAGCGCTTGTACGCCAGTTCGAAGGCCTGTCCAATGGTCAGGGTAATGTCTTCGGCCTGAAACGTGAAGATTGCAATCATTATTGATGAATAATTATAATTGTGGAAGTTTTGTGTTCATAATCCGAACGGATTAATTATATTTTAAAAATCAAATTAAAACAATAATAATAAATAAAACTGTTTTATCAAAAAAATCAGGATGATAAGAAGCTTGTTAATTAAATGCGCAAATCTATTTTTGTTGCTGAAAGATTATACATATATTTATTTATTTGTATTGAAATAATATAAATCTTTATTACACGTCTGCATTTTAATATTAAAAACAGGTTGTAGATAGTAAATAAGGAGTATTATACTAACCAGTTTGTCAGAGACAAAGACGTAGCACATGTGGGCGTCCGCATCGGCCTCCTTGGCAATGAAGCTGAAGAAGCGCTTCTCGCCCTTGTCGTCGGCGCAATACGAGATTCGATGCAGCGGGTACTGGTGCAAAATTCGTTTGGCGCCTTTGGGCTCCTGCACAGCCACTCCGTCCACGCTGATGGTCAGTTCAACCTTTCCTTTGGGTCCGCCGCCCTCCGACTTGCGCAGCTGCTCGCAGAACTTGAGCTTCCGGATGCCCTCTTTGACCACCTCGATGCCCTTCGGCTGGTCAACGCGAGTGCTGCCCAAAAACTGCAAACAAATTTTTTATGTTCAAGTTCAAGTTAGAAAAATTTGGATAGCATAAATAGCATCCTTGAAATCACAAACCTAGTATTTGACACCAAACAAGGGTGCTTTTGGAATTTTTACACAATGTGACCTGAAAAGTACCTTTTAAAGTTTTCAGGTGAGAAGACTTATTTGAGTAAACTAGTTATTTCAAAAGCAGTACTCTTCATTCTCATTATTAAAATAATTCTCTCTACTAATTACCCTGAGAAAGGTAGAACCTGAGCTCAGGTCGCTTTTGACAATGGTTAGGGTCAGGTCGTGTTGGGTATTGTTTAGTAGGTTTTCGAGGTCGCCCAACGCAAATTCAGGCTCAAAATAATCGTAGCTCGGTCTGCTCACAGCAATCAAGAGATCCGTAAGCATTTTTCGCATGAAAATGAGATCGCGACCGAAATAGGAGACAAAAGAGACGCTCCCACGCGATTGCAAAAGAATAAAATAGTTCGTGTCGCCGGCAGACGTCGCTGAGCTAAAGTGCAGTTAACTGGATCAAATGCAGCCGGAGATCGTTCACCCTCGGCGGGCATATAGCTGTACACTTACTTCTTGCAACCATAGGAAGCTCGGGTCGCTCCGCCGCAGCAGCGACGTCGCCGCGCGGCCTTGGTAGTTTCGCTCGCAAAACCGAACGACACATAATATGACGCAAATCTCCAAGGCGATCCAAACGCTTCGGAACGAAATTGAGAGTCGCGCAGGAAAGAAAGGCGGCGTGGAAAACAAAGCGGCGGGTCGTTGGCCTACATCGCGGGAAGGAGAAAGTCGGCGCGGCAGGAAGAGCGCTCATTTTTTAATTCATTCCGCGCGCGCCGCTCAGCTTTGTTATTATTCGGATGCTGTAGACGTAAAAACACACTCGTCCATATACGCAACCATCACTGCCCGCAGGCACGAAAATTTTCAGTCAGGAATTCCCTTGGGCAGCAGCATTTCAGTACTGGATTGCAAGATTATTACATTTTTTTTACCAAAATGTCAAAAGAGATTTCTAATGGTCTCCCAAATATATTCATGTGATCAATTTAAATAAGGATATACTTTCTATTATTTTCAAAAAGAAATCGTGCATTTTTCGAACCTGTCCTACAGTGTTAGAACCTAATTGCAAGTTCTAATTTTGTTTATTCCAGAAGATACTTGGTTTCGATAAATTTTTGCAAAAATTTTTAATAAATACGAACTATTTCTTTGATAAGCATAAATAAACTTTTTTTGTTTAATCAATATCAAAACAAAATAAAGCTACATTATTAAACTAAAGTCAAATGTTAAACTGTCATTATATATATTTATTATTTTAATAATATTTAATTGACAGTTTAACATTTGAATGTAGTTAAATAACAGTGGTATTGATTATTAACTATTTCATTTAATAGATTGAGCAATAATTATTTGATTAGTTGGTTTGTGAATTATTGGAGTTTTTTGGGTTACAAAACAAAGCCCCCTGCAAAAATGTTGCGGGAAAATTATGATTTTCAAAAAAATTGTCAAAATACATGTCATGTTTTTGAGAAGGATGATTTTTTTAAATAATCCACAGATTGCACGATTGATGCTAAAAAGATTTGACCAGCAAATTCTTATTCTGTTGAAATACCTGCAAGTGTGTTTTAAATAAAAAAAAAATTACTTTTTTTGTGAAATCGATTTCCTTTAAAAGTTGTTCTCCTATTTTGCATAATGTTTGCTTAAAAGAAAAGATAAATCATGTTCGCTTCGTGACACCCTGAAAAGGTTTGTGTTCACATTGGCACGTATTTAGGTCACGCAACTCAAAATTTCCGCTCCGAGGCACACAATTGTGACTGCTGTGTATATTCAATAGGCGCCGTTTGCTAGGAGCGTGCGCCGTTTTCCGTGTTTCAGAAGGAAACAAACAGATCCATTATTCATCGGGCTAGGCGCAGTGTTAAGGTCGTTTTTTTCTTATTCAACACTTGGAAATAAAGCATCCGAGCCGATCGTGAGGAGACTTGGTCGAAGTGGTGAGGCAAAAAATAATAAGCCGCCGCAGAGAGGAGCGCGCAGGTTTTTCGCAACCTTCCCCACTCAAGGATAAACGCGGCAGATGATGAATAAACAAAACGCGCATCGCCACACCGACCTTTTATCAGCAGGTGTTGATGCAATGAAAGAAAAACGCGTATGTTTGCGCAGTCACGCGGCAGTAAAAAAAAACATGCAAACCAGCATGCAAATTGTGTCGGAATTAACTTCTTTACTTAACTTCTTGATAAAAAAAAAATTTTAAATAAAATTTAAGATAAATTAAAAGGAGGAAATTGTTTCACCTTGACTAGATAGGCGATGTGTCCGCGCTGGAGGGCGTCGGGAGGGTGTATCCACGCTTTGTTGGTGCCGCCCCCTGAAAGCCGAGCAACTCGTGAGTCAGTTGTGAAAGGCACAGACAATGAATGGAATCGCGTGGGTGGAATTTATTTTAAAGGCCGCATTTTGGTTGCAACTCTAAGGAATTGCGAGAGAACAATGGGTGCCAATTAAGAGTAATTAAATAAAGCGGGCGATTGTGCAATCGTTAAATTTTGAAATAAACCGCTTCATCCACGGACAATTAAGTTTATGAACTTAAAAATATATTAATTTAAAATAAAAAGTTAAAAAGTTGAAAGGACTCAATTTTTTTACTAAATTAAGTTTAAATATATAAGTTTCAATTTAAAATTGGGATAAAATTAACATTTGATAGGGGTTTGATGTTAATAATAATTAATTAATTTCGTCTAAATGAAAATTTCGGAATAAATGTGAGGTGAAAGTTGCTGACCATTCTTGGCCTGCGCGTTGTTTTTGTTGTTGCCGTGCGCCCACTTGAGCAGCGCGTTGTTCCTCATTCCGTCCGCCCTGCAAACAAACACAAAAACCACTTTAGTCAGCAGCTGATAGCCCAAGGTCAACTTAAATTAAATAATAATTCATATCCCGACGCAAGGTTTGCATTGAGCAAGAATCCTTGTTGGTCAACCGAGGAGACTTTAATGGTCGAATGAGAATTATTATTATATATTCTATATATATTTCTCAATAAATATACTCTTGAACAAGAATTAAATTCACGCTCAGAGATACGTCAGCGACTTAATTACGCTCTTATCTAGGAGAAAGAGAGGACAATGGAAATGCCTGTTGTCTCCTCTGCCTTGTCGGGGTCGCGTTCAGAACGATACATGCGCACTATTACGTTCGAGATCAGCGCCTCAAAAGGCATCGTTTAATGAGCGAGCAAGAGTGAGAGAGAGAGAGAGGTTGTTGGAGGCAGCCTGTGCCAGGTACTCAGGGTCCCCCACCTGAGGCCCTCGGGCTAGCAGAGCGACTCTACGCGGCCGTTTCTCCGCATCCAACCACAACAAAACAGCATCGTTGGCAGTAGCTGGATCATTTTTCAGCCATTGTGAACCCAAATTCGCACCCAAATGCGCCCTGAACCTATAAAATGACACCAAACTCGACCTTATTTATGCTTGAAAATATCTCAGGGTATACAGGTAGTGTTCAGGTACGCGGGGAAAACCTGATTAAATAATCTCGCGTGCCCTTGAACTCCAATTTGTAGGTGTAAATTTAAAATTTAAAGCTATCCTTCGTGAAAGGTCCACTTCAGGGTCGACCTTTTTCAGGTTCCTTTCTCATCAGCACTTTTATGAACAACAAACTTTTAAAATAAGACAATCGTTTATCGTTTTAAACGCCTTTTTTCCCAAGATAAAATCTCAATCCTCAATCTACACCAAATATATTATTTATTGGAAAAATTAAAAAAGAAAAAAAAAAGTTAAAAGATAGCACTCTTAACTAAGAAAAGAAAATTTTAGATGCTTCGGTTTGCCAAGTTGGCACTCCACGGACCTGTGGTCTGGAAAGGTTCGAGGCCCACGGGCGGATTGTTTCAGGAGAGTTTGGAACCGAGGTCGGTTAGACGATTCGGCCGCGGAACGTGACGAATTTCTCCGTTTCGGACGCGAAATTGGCGATCGTGCTCGGCATGAAACTTTCGATCGGCCCACTTTAGAGTTAGGAGACGGTGATTGCGATTCGAGTCAGTCTCTCAGCACCGCTCGCTCCGCCTTGACCCGATGCCGCGCGCCGCATTCTATTATTCAAATAAATAAATAAATGTACTCAATTGGGAAACAAAAGCAATTGTGTGGCCCACAATTGAGAGAAGACGACGAGGTCGCAGCAGAAGAGAAGAGCCGGAAGCGGGTGAATTCGCCGCTCGCGGGCCAAAACAAACAGCGGCTCCGCAGTTTCTCCTCGCTAATTAGCACTTCTAAGCTCCTGTGGACGCTTCCCGGTGCCTTTTTAAGCGCGAGCTCTTTGTTTTGGACTTAGCGAGACAATTTCACTTCAACTGAGGTTGTAATTGTGCTCAGCGACCCTCAAAACATATGGTTCGACACCAAACACGTCTGGTTTCTGAGACACAGCAAAAAGTTTTTTTCATAAAGGTATTAAATAATATAACCTGATATCAGGGTAGACCCCTGTCTTAATCTTATTTTGAAGGTGTGTAAAAGAATATTCCAGATCAATCAAATTCCTAAGCAATAACTTACACACGTAATAATAACTATAAGCTAACCAACCTGAGTCAGCTCAGGGTATTCCCTGTGTGACCTTTATTTGACTTTTGTGTGACGGAAAATCAGTTTAAAATTATTAACGTATAGAAATATGTTCAGTGTGAAAATGTTGAGAAAAATTCAAAACAACACATGGTGTTTCAGAACAATTATATAAACCTGAATTCAGGGCAATTCAGGGTATTGAAAGTAATATAAATTTCAAATAAAAAAAGTGATTTTTTTAGCCTAATAAAATTTCTAAAATTCATAGGCAAGAAATTTGAAATTGAGCTTATTTTAATTAAATGCAGGTTTAGGTCATTTTGAAACTTTTTACCTATGTATATAATTGCTTTATTATGATTTGCAGTTAATTAATTTGAATAATGTATGTGTAAAAAAATAATCGCAATTTTGATGGAAATAACAGAAGATTCGAGGTACGGGCTACATCAGGGTCACCGATCGCTAACGCAAAAGTGCCTGCTCATCACCTGCGAGACCTGACGGTACCAGGCAATCGCACCTGACGGGAAAAGGTGGCTTCGGATAATCGCAAGACACCCACCTGCTGATCAAACCACCAAGCCGGGCGACGAAACTAATGAACGCACTTCGGACACTGCTGGACACACGCTGCTGGCTGCACGACCACGACACAAAACGCGCACCGTCCGCAGGTCGACGACTCGGTGCCCAGAGTGAGTCAGAGGCCAGGCCAAACCAGCAGAACTGGAGTGACTGGAGTGGTGGTGCGAAGGAGAACAAAATCCCACTGTTTCCACCTCTTGCTCTTGCGGCTCGTAGTACCAACACGAAAAATAATTAATTGCAGTGCGAGTACCAACCAGAGACGCTGCTATTGTATTGGCAGCACTGACAAAAGCAGCCAATCAACTTGCAGGATTTCGACTTTGGAGCCTCGTAATTGGCTGCTTTTTTGCAATCCAGCGTGCAAACGCCATCAATCGGTGAATCGGTCTCTATGGAAACTACAGTGACAGTTCTCAGGCGGAGACCCGAAAACAGCCGTCGGTCGGCCTTTTTCGCTCTCAGGGTGGATTCTCAGGTATCGGGTTGCGATGGATTGAGGATCTGAGTACGGGAGATGTTGTCGCCGACCGACGGAGTGGGTGATGCGGCCGCGGAAGAGGCCGTCGACCCCAGAGTGCAGGTGCGTTAAGTCAAGGGGACGTGGTTGCTGTCATTGAAAATTTTCCTAATTCGACCCTTTTTCAGGTTGAGTTGGAGAAGCTGAACTCGGCCACGGATGAAATCAACAAGCTGGAAGTGGACCTTGACGTAAGCAATTAATTTCAGCCAGAAAATAAAAATTAATTTGGTTGTTTCATCGATCACAGGAGGCGAGGGCTGCGTTCCGGCACCTGCTGATGGAGTCGACCCGACGCATCGACGAGTTGGCCAAGAAACTAGGGTCGTGCGTAGAGCGTGCTAGACCATACTACGAGGCTCGACTCAGAGCCAAGGAGGCCCTTCAAGAGGCCCAAGCAGCTGCTGTTCGTTTTGAGCGAGCAAACTCGGCCCACTCGGCAGCTAAGGAAATGGTCTTCCTCGCTGAAGAGGGCCTTAAGGTTGCCTTATTTTTGTCTCATTTTACAGAATAGCTCTTAATATAATTTTTTTTTTATAATTTAAAATATTTTTCCTCGATTAATAAAGAAAAAAAAACAGTCTGAATTTCCTCAAGTGATAGTGACCTTTGAAGGCAACAAACTAATTAAAATTATCACTTTTTGCTTATCAGTTTCAAGGAAAAATTCAAACTATAATTGAGTCGGATTGGAGTACAAATTTATGATATCTTAATAATATAATTATTTGACAGATTTATTTCATAACTAATTATTCATGTTCTTGAATTGTTATGTGATCCAAAAAATAAATTATGTTTGGGAATTTTAGGCCGAAGGTCGTACTTTTGACCATGCATGGCAGGAGATGCTGAACCATGCAACAATGCGCGTGAACGAAAGCGAAAGTGAAAGGACCCTTAGTGAGGCTGAGCACCGACGCACCTCTCAGCGCTATCAGGAGGCCGAGCAGCGCGTTCAGTACCTGCAGAAGGAGCTGAAACGCACCATTGCCAAGTCGAGGTTTGTTATCGAGAGTTGCAGCGCTTGAAGCCCCTAGTTTGCACCCTGCTTTCGTTTTGCCTGGTTTTTTCCTTTGGTTTGACCCTGGTTTGACCTTTTTTGGTGAGCACTGCCACAAATTAATCTCTTCAAATGATTTTATTTATATTCACTCCAGGCCTTACTTTGAGACAAAAGCACAAACCAACCTGGTCCTGGAGACTCAAAAGACGCGCGTCAAGGCTCTCGAGAAACAGGTACCAAAAATACAAGATGATCAGTTTTATCATAATATTTTCAGGTGTTACAAATTATTCACGTTGATTTATAAAATTGGATCTGGGAAGTTTTTTACGAAAGTTTCTTTGAGCAGAAACTTTTTTTCTTCTCAACCAAGAATTTTTTTAATGTTTTAACTGACTTCATAAGTAATTAAAATTATTATGTTCAATGCAATCTGCTGCAGCGGAAATGACCTCTCCATAATGATTGTGAATGAGAAAAACGTTCATACTCATTCCATCTGATTTTATCTGAGATTGTGATTGTTAATGGAAAGAGGAAAAGAAAAATTGTGTAATTTTTAGTTCTAACATTTTATGAAAGAAATCTGATTTAAAATATTTGCTTTTAAGTTAATCAGGTTAATCATTATGAATATTATGCAAGTTGCAATCTAGAAAAGAAAAATATTGATAATCCTCTTAATTGCTTAAAATAATATTTTAAAATTAACATTTGAAATGATTTGAACGTCATTCAAAATGTTATTTTACATTTCAGTGATAAAAAACCAGATAAGTGTGAATTTCAGTAATTATGTTTGATTTATATTCTGCTCAGGTGGCGCAGTCAAAGTTATGTTACTCACGAGCCTTGGGAAACCTTGAGAAGATCAGTGACGAGATCCACCAGATCAGACGCGAGTCACAGTGCAATGGAGAACGTGGCTCTGGGGTTGGCGCTGAGTGCTCCCGTCCGTGCACTCCAGCCAAGAGCAAGCAAAACAACAGCAGTGACGTTGCCCCTGTTCCAAACTCCAACATTTCAATGGTGTGAATTATTTTTTTAAATATCAATTGCATAATGATGAAGATAATGCTAGCATAAAAATTTAAAATTTGAATTTTCAACAGGTTTCGTCAGACCCACCTGTGGTCCCTGATCGTCAGAAATCTGTGATGGATGAGCCATCGTCAGAGCGACGCGTACGTGACCTGCTTAGCCAGGGAATGATGATGCTCAATATCAACGCACCACATTCACCTGCCCATGGTAAGAAATATAGTTTTAAATTATCTCATTCTGTTTTTATTTCAAATAAGACAATTTTAATTATTTTTTTCTATCTAAATTGGTAATTTTGGTATAAAATAAAAACTTTATTTGGAATTTATGAAATTTTTTATAATGAAAATACATGCTGAAAGGGAAATAATTTTTGCCATAAGGAATTTAATGTTTAATTATTTATTATTTCTTTCTTGAATTTAGCAATGTGATTAACTTTTAAATTCTTTTATTCAGGCACACCAGGAAGGCGGCGGAGCTCGAGTTCAAGACCTTGCAGCAAAGTGCCATCACCACTGGAGAAGTCACTTTTCTACCTGGCCGACGACGACAGCGCCTCTGACAACGAGAGTCTTGCTAGGTACTTGTACAATAAATAACACCTATATAATGAAATCTAATAAAATTTTAGTGTGGAGATGTTGTCAGATGAGCAGGTGGCATCTTTGATGTATGACGACCTAGACGAAGACCCATTGCTAGGTCTGCCAGTGAGTCAAAGCGTTCCAGCCAGCAGCAGACCACCCTCCTCTCTCAGCCGGACCACTTGATCTAAAAAAGAACTGAACCCGCATGAATCTCTCTAGTCGCTGCAAAAAGTGATCCTTTTTTGTTCAAATATTTCAAACTGCAATAAGTTTGTTTTGTTGATGTTATTGCAATAAATATGATGCTACAAAAAGAGAATACTTTAATATTACTTCTTTGAAGCTCACTCATTTGCAATAATTTACCAAATATTTTGGATTCAATTAAAAAAAACATTTTTTTTTTTTTTTTTTTAAAAATCGCATGGCTGCATTTTTATTTTTGTTTTTAAAAAAATGAATAAATGGAGTGGACAAGAATGATTATGTACAAAGCGCAGTGCTTGCAAAAATAATTCGTTGGTCCTGCTTTCGTTGTGTGTGAGTGTAAGTTTGTGTGTTCGTTTGGATTGATTGCATGTTAAATTGATTGTATGTATATTGTAAGTTTGGCGCGGCCTCAGCGGGAATTTTCTAAAAAATCAGTCCTGTTGCTTTTGGGAACGAGGCCAGGCGCGTATCACAAAACGGAGGAGGTGTGGAGGTATGGCAGTGGCTGTCCTTAGAGTGAGGGACTTGAGTCCCTTCGCTGAACACATGTATATGTTATCGAATTCATTCTCCAGAGCAGTAACAGAGTTAATTATCAGTAGAAATTATTTAAAAAAAAATCACGCTGCAGCTGCTGCTATTTACACGCAAAAATCACCACCGCCCAGTTTAGTCAAGTTGGTCGCGCGCGCGTCTCGGCACCGCTCGCAGCTGCCGCACCAGGGTTACGGCGCCAAAGCGAGCGCGGCGGCCCGCCAGAGTGTCGACTAGATCGCGTTGATTACACCGAAGAAAAAAATACGTCGTGCTGCTGGGGGCGGCCACCCCTCGGAAAAGCTAAATTTATACACAGTCGAGCAGCAAGTTCTGTTCAGTCCATTGGTGGTCTTTCTTTGGCCGCCCCTCCAGAATTCAAATCTCCTCTTAACAGCTAAACATTAATTTAAAACTCTACTCCAACGCAAAAACTTAAGTTTGTTCTAAGATTTGGCAGGGATATGTACACGAACGGTTGTAACTCTACTGTGAGGGGCGTCGCAGCCCCTCGGGCAGTCTCGCGGCAGGTCAGAGGTCAGGGCCGGCAGCGCTTGGAGCGGCGTCATCGGCAGGCAGGAAGAGGGCCGCAGAGCTGGGGGAAAGTGGTCCTGCGGTCACACCAGCGGCCACCTGCGCCTCTGGAGGTGCAAGGCCGTGCGTAGCAAAGTATGGGTCCTCCAGGGCGTCTGCGGCACAAATTCTGCGCTGAGGGTTGAAGACCAACATTTGCTGCAACGGGATGAAGAAAATTGTCAATACCCTCAGCAGAATGCAGTTTCAAAGCCATAATGGCAACGGGATAGTTTGGAGGGTGAGAAGAAAAATTAAAAAATTCAGGAGGAAAATTCCAATGTGATCACTCAAAGAATCATATGAATGTGTGTCATGCGGAGAGTCACAATATAGGTTTCCAAGGACGAGGATTGCAAATTTATGGTCAGAATTTGCGAAACGTAAGTGAAAATTGGAATACAGAGGCACAGAATTGCAGAGAAAGGCACTCTGCATTGCAAACGAGTGAACGTCTGGGTTATCTGCAATTCGCGTGATTTGCGTATGTAAAGCTGACCTGCAGCAGGTGTTTAGCGTCGGGGCACATTTGCGGGACGAGGCTGCTGAGGTCAATGCCGGGCTTTCTGTTGAACGAGCTGTGCGCAATGCTTACGCTCTCGGGCCACTCCTCTTCACTTGGGGTACCGATTACACTGCAGAAAAATAAGATCCAGTTAATATTCATGGACAGGGAAAGTGAGAAATCATTACTGGAAAATGCGTTCGAGCTGGTTGGCTTCCGAGCTGCCGCAGAAGAGGGGTGTGCGGCGGAAGAGCTCGGCCATGATGCAGCCACACGCCCAAACGTCAACAGGGGTGGCGTAGGGAAGGGCTAGTAGAACTTCTGGTGCTCGGTACCAAAGTGTAACCACCTGAAGTTTCAAATGATGGTTGCAAAAATAGGAAGAGGAATTTAAAATTAAATTACCACTGAGGTGAGGCACATGTCTAGGTCATAGGTCTTGGCAAGGCCAAAATCGGCCAATTTGACACGGCCGTCGTCGGCCACCAGAATGTTTTGCGGCTTCAGGTCACGGTGCACTATGCGGTGGCTGTGCAAGAAGTCAACGCCGCACAGAATCTGGAACATTAGGTCACGCACCTTGACCGGGGTCATCGTCTGCCGCTCCAGGTATGCGGACAGGTCTTGGTCCACATGTTCGAAGACAAGGAACAAAGTCAGCTGATGCTCCTTTTCCAGGCGCGGTCCATGGCAGATGTCAAGGAGGCTGCAGAATTGAGAAGATCGTTCATTATTTAAAAGTAATTAACAAAAATTTATAACATAATTTTTCATAACAAATTATTAATATATTTAAAACTATTAGAATAAGTTTATTTATGAATATTTTTTTCGACCAAACTAAAGTTGGACTATTTTATTTGCAAATAATAACGGCAAACATCTCTAGCGATTGTTTTGCGCTCGCAACAGCAGGCAAGCGTTAATTGTCAGAGGGAAGCGTTGGAAAATTCGCGCGCGTGTGTGGGATCGGCGCTGGCAGGGGTCCGTGCCGGTCGAGCGGCGTTCGAGATGAATTCATCGGCCGAACAAAGGGCGGCGGCGAAGCTCAAACGCGAATTCCGCGGCCTTTGTCTCTGCCCGCTGCCAAACCTTCCTGAAGATTTTTATTTTCCGCCGCGGGATCTTTACGGCGGCCGAAAATTGCAGCAAAAAAGTCAAGGCTGCTCGCCGCCGACTTGTTTGCTTTCCGCGAAACTGCAGCGGCCAAGAGTGCAGCAGCGGGGGCAAAAAATCGCATTCGCGGCACGTCCGAAAGCTGAAATCCTTGCGCCGCCGTTGCGGCGAACAACAACTTAACCGCGCGGCGCCTTTTACGGACGCAGCGCAAAAAAGCAGCCAACGCGAGATTCGTCCGGCGGCGCCACGAGGGAGCGCGTGAGAAAGTGTCGAGCCAGGGTGACATCACCGCGCCGGAAGTCGCGGGTCATTCGCGAGCCAAACTACATAAACACGCACACACTATGTTTACTTAGGCGCTCAGACGAGACTCTTTCTGGGAACTTCATAAAAAGACTTATTTGAATTGAATTTCCCTCAAAACCGATCGACTTTTGTATAGTTGTATGAAAATCTTTCTTCACTCTCCTCATCTCGAGACCTTTAATTTGATACCGAACATACCGCAAATTGCTTCAGGTACGCGAGTGACCTTCGCCAGGGTAATCACCCGGCTAAAAAAAACTTGTTTTATGATAACAAGGCTCGCTTCGGGTAATAATAATTGATGCACTTCAAATTAGGTAAAAAAAATATCGCCCTGGATTCAGGGTCACGTTTTTTTTTAATTACCTGACGATGTTGGGGTGATGGTGCTGGTCGATCTGGCGAAGGAGGCCAATCTCCCTGAGCGTGGACATGGGCACTCCGTCCTCGGTCAGCGGCACTCGCACCTTCTTCAGGGCAACGAATTTGCCAGGGTTGTGCAGGTCGCGCGCCTTCCATACGGTTCCGTACGCTCCTGAATAAACAACATTATAACATTAGAAAATGGAGATAAACAAATTCAAAAGGAAATTTTCCACTGACGAGTCGCGGACAAAGAGAATCAGCTTTTCGCTCCGTTTCGATCAAAGCGGTCGCCGCTTCCAGGAAGGATAATAAAAAAATAAAATCAACGCGCAGGTGGTCCCCCCATGCAAATCGCATCATGTTTTCACAACGCCGCTCCACTTTTGATTCGCATCAGAAAATTCAGCATTTTGCTTCAAAGAAAACTTTCAAAAACAGGGTGGACGTTTTATTGAAACACCGGAGCTTAGTTTCTGATTCGATTCGAGAGTTGACTTTGATAAGAAAGGGGCCGAGGGCGTCCGACGGAGGACAGCCCCCGTGGGGGCCTCTGCCAGATGCCGGCCGGCCGGCTGGCAACGCCGCCTATACCGCTTATGAATGAAGCCACTCCGTTCGCCAAATGCCTCAGGAATCCCAGCATTCCGTTCGCAGACCGACAAAACAATCCTCAAGCCTGATATTAGTCAAATGGGCTTAACTTAAAACTCGCATTTACCTTTTCCAAGGAAAGAAATTTAAAATTTTAGCAGCTAAATCAAGCAATATTAAAATAATATTTATTATTTTTTTCCAATTAATTTAATCAACTTTTTAAATTAATAATAAAGATAAAAAATAAAAGTAGATTAAATGAGCAGTTTAGACGGTTGGAAATTATCACAAATCTTTGAATTTTGTTAAATTCATCTCGACGAAGTTCATTTTGCTTAATTTGTTGCATCTAGTTTGTTGTATTGTAATATTGTTACTAAAAAATATCAGACATTAAAAAGGAGAAATTAATATAAGAATTAAATTCAACTGATAAATTAATTGAATGAGATTGATGGTCTCGCAAAATAATATTAAAAAATTATCCCAAATCATTGAAATTTGATTTTTTTTTATAATTTTGCACCTGACAGTATCCATCATGAAAAATTTAAAAAATTATTTTTGCAAATTTGAAAAACTCCGCGCATATATTTGGCCAGCCCCCACCACCTTCCTATCAGCCAATGGGAGATGTGCAACATTGTCTTGAATTTCTTTCCCACAACATTTTCTTTCTTAGAGTATTATAAAGCTCAAGACTGCTTGGGCATCACTTTTTCGCAATTTATCTGCGCTCTTGGCGTCTGGCTGCTGCTGTTGAGGTGAAATTGCAAACCGACAAGACTCTCAGCAAGCAAGCAGCACATGGAGGAAATGACGCGGCGGCAAAAACTGCAGCCGACGGTTGCGGTTCTCACACAGCCTCCCACGTCTCCACATTCCGATCTGGTCCACGCCGCGAGAGCGCCACTCGTTTTATTTGAGAGCAAATTGCCAATAAAAAGTATTTCTTGAGTTAGAAAAGGAAAATAACTACTTTTTGGAAAGCAATCTTGAGGGAGGGTGATCGAAGGTGTGCGAAATTTTTGCACCGCCATGACGACGCTCTTTATATATTCGGGTTATCGAACGACTCGTGTGAGTGTGCGACGAGCAAACAGCACATTTCTGCACGCGCGTGATAAGATAAAGTGGAGAGTGAAAGAATTAAAAGGCCGCACCTTTCTACTTTGGCCACAATTTCCGTACCTGTGCCGATCTGGTGGATCTCCTCGTAGTGGTAGGACGACTCGCGGGTCACGATGCCGCCCACCCCGGCCCTCAGGTCGGGCACCCTGAACGGCGCCGCTGCTGACGAGGTGCCTGCCCCTGCAGGCGAGCTGCCTGTGCCGCCGGGCATCCTTACCAGCTCACCATCTCTGCGAACAATATAGGATATTATAATATAATTAATTTTCATAATGCAAGCACACGGTGTATTTGATTGTTTATCTGTGCACAAATATGAACAATGTATTAATCGATACCTAACACAACTGGGTTTTAATCAGGTTTAAATTTTAACTTAAAAGGCCGATTTCAGGGTATAACTTTGCGTTTGATAAATTGACCCTTATGATTCGCTGAGAAAAGCGTCAGCAACTTTTGATTGATTTACTTCACAATTAATCTATATACCTTGAAAAAGGTGCATATTATATACCCTGGAGGAAATTTTTAGGCAAATTTAATATTAATATATTCAAAGAACCTGATCTTAATCAATAACACCTAATCTAGTCGGTTAATTATTCAGGTTTTCGTTATGAATGATTCGAAAGAAGACGTTTCCTATATACCCTGAAAAAGGTTGAATCCCTAGAAAAATTAATAAACACAGAATTTTCGGAACAGGTTGGACTCGTAAAAACAGCACTTTGGTCAAATTAATGCAGAAAGGGTTCGGCGTGCGCGAGAGTCGAGCGGAATTTGGGCGGCAGGTGGTTTTCAGGTGGCAGGTGCTGCGAACAGGGGCCTCGGAGGCCCGCAAGAGGGGCCTCGCGAGAGGGCAAATATTTGGCGACCGAATGCACCGCACGCAGAGTCGACGGCCTCTCCGATGCACAGCTAGAGATCCGGAGGAATTTTGTAAAAGGCAAACAAACGCACATTTTTTCCGCCGAGCACCTGCTCTCTCACGCGCGCGCCGCGGAATCCACCGGACCATTGATCACCGGGCACACTTTATTAGTCGCGGCCGCTGGCCATTTAAATGCCTCCAGAGTTAATCACCGCGCCTCCGATTTGAGGATAAACGAGAGAAAAGCAAGGATCGATGATTGTTTCACAATTTATGGCTTCATTATTAGGAATTAGGAATTTGTTTGAATAAAGAATGGTAAGATTTTATTATATACTTTTATTCTGAACGAGTCAATGACTCGAATTTTATTATTTAAATTGGTTCGATGTGATCTATGATTAGAAAAATTAAGTCAGAAACTTTTGAAAATAAAATTGATGGGTTTACATGCATGATTAGTGTCATAAAAAATAATATTCGGTATTAATTTATAGAATTAATTTAATTAAGGGTATATAAAAATAGTTTTATTTCATTAGCATTTCGGAAGTTATTTTAACCCAAAAATGAAATTGAAATTAGACCTGAATGATGCAAACAAACTCGTGGGTGGAATTGTACACCAGAAGGTCTCAGGGTTAGACAGACAAGGGGAGCGAATTGAAAGGAGCAGCTGCGGCGGAACCAACTGTTGCTTCGCCTGCCATTTAAAATTTAAAGCCCCTGATGCAGGCCGCATCATTTCATGCAAAACAAAATTATCAGCAACTCTCTCTTATCAGAGAAAAATTAGTGGATAAAAATAAATAAAACAATTTGCTTCTCAAGCTGAAATTTTAGATTCAAGTTAACGGTCCTCGTGCTAAGTCTCAAGAGGGAAAACATTGGCAACGGCGCTTTATGCGGACAAAGCAGCAGGTAAGATAGGGGCGGTATGTGTTATTATTGTTGGAGAGGAAGTTGCTTGAAAACCCCCCAGACTAGCAGCGAAGGGAAGCGCGAGGAGCAGCAGCCGCGGGGGAAACTGACGACCCGCCGCTTCCTGCCACCTTTTTAAAGGGGCCTTTTAACCCAAGCAATACACGTGAAGGGCAAAGTGCACAACTTTTACATCTTCACTGAACTTTTAAACGTTCAAACTTTTCAAATAAAAAAACATTATAGAATCAATTAGAAATTTATGGAATATTTATTTCTAATTGCAACGTTTTTAGCAATTAATGATTTAAAGTATTATTAAAAAAAAAAAAAAAATTAGTGAATTCTTTTCCTTCTAATTCAGTTAAAATAAAAAAAGATGTGTTCAGATTTAAAAAAGTTCAATTCCTTACCCCAGAGTACAGCGAAAAAGGTTCTTTCGGTATCCAAAGGGTTGCTCCGGAGAGATCAACTCAACACGACCGGCACTGAAGAGGCCGCGCAGGGACTGATATCGAGGCAGCTGAGGGCAGAGCAGCTGCAGGGGAACGCGCGTGCCTCTCGCACCTGCCCGCCCCCCGGCCCCCTTGCCGTTCAAAAGTGCCAATGCACTCGTAGATTAATCCGGAGACTTGAACGCCCGACAAACCAATCGAGCAACTAAATTGTGCTATTTAACTCATCGCTCATTATATCATTATTAGATATAATAAATTTTAAAATCCTTTCAATGTTTCTTTGGCAAATTAGATTATAATATTTAGTGGTAATTGCGTCAGACGCATTTAATCGATTTATTTTTATTTTATTTTCAGTCATTGCTGAGCCGGTTTTCACGTCAAAAGCGGGCGAGGCCGCACATCATTTGGAAATTATGCATATTTTGGCGGCGCTCTTTCTTTGCCTTCGTGTCGGCCCGCGGCACACAGTCAGCGGCGCCTCGAGCAACTCATTTCCATCGGCGGTCACGAATGTCGTCCGTCTCTAGAATTCAGGAGGACCACCATGCAAGCAAAACGTTGGTTTCGTTCCGATCAGGAAAAATAACGAAACACGCGCTGCATAATTCGGTAATGTCTCTGTTTCCGATGAGGTGCATGTGCGACGCTATGGAATTCATCCGCTGTATCAGGAAATTGATCGTAAAAAATTCTCTCCATCTCACGCACGCTTGTGCGCATTTTCAATCAATACAAAGGTGTCTTTATGGTTAGTTATTGAAGTTAGAGCTTTTATTCACGCAATAGGAGTGGCAGTTTGCAAAATTTGAACCCGGATTAGAGATCAGCGACCCTGAAAACCTATATTTTGATACCAAACATGACATTGTTGTGATCTAGTTATAAATCGACCTTCCTCAGGGTTCAGGGTGTGTCGCAAAAATTTTCCACAATAAAATGTAAATTTCTTTAAATTTAAAATTTATGACATTCCTAAGCAGACCTTAACAAATAAAACTTTAAAACCATTCATAAGAAGTATTCAGGGTAATGGCAACCTGAGCGAAGGTCGTTTAAAGTAATGAGCTAAATGCTGCATGTTGGGTGTCTATTCATAGGTTTTTTCAGTTGAGGATCACGAATTTCAGATCGATTTATTCATAACTAGCACCCATGCCTTCCTGAACACCATCTTGACACTTTTCAATACCAAAATCTTCCAAGGATCAAACCGGAGAGAATAAAAAACTCGGCGGTCTGTGTGCAATCGGCCCTTGTTGATCGCGCAATGAGAAAAGTGCCGGTCGGTCTCGGGGGCCGCGGGCGGGCGGGCGGTTCGCGGTGCGCAGAATATATGGTTTTCTCTGTTGCTAAGCTCCGCGGCCGTTCGCCGTTTGCCGCCGCGTGCAGAAAGAAAGAGCGAATCTGGCGGGCAGGAATTCGCCTCAAGACAAACCCGCATCTTCTTCTCATTCACCTGCTCTCTTCTAGCTGGAATGCCGGCGCGAGCAATAGACACTCGCGCAAAAAAGAATTAGCCAACAAAAGGGCCGCGCGAGCGATTATCGTCTCGTTCTGCTTTGAGGTCTCTTTTCTCTTTCCCAAGTCGAGAGGAGATTCAAATCGGAACGAAATATTCTTCGGGCCGAGCGATTGATTTTTCGCAACGGGCGCTAATTAAACAGCCGGCGCAATTGTGCATGCGGCCGACGGTCGTGACTCGGGATTTTCGCCGTCCGCTCGTGAGTTGGGCGCATTTTTGTGTTGTGCGCACCTCCTGCTTTTTGCCCGGCCGTCTGGTGCGACCGGCGAATCCGCAGCTGATCTCCTTATTTGTTGCTGCGCGCTATTCAAAAGCCGCATTCCGCACGCGAAATCACACAGAGATCAAAACACGGCTCCGTCGCGGCAACAAAGGCAAAAATTCGCCCATTCATCGCAAAGTTTGCTTTTCAGGAAAAACGTTGGCGCTGCGGAGAGAAAAAAGGAGCGGAATTCGGTAATTTTAAACACACTAAAATTTACAAAAAAACACACTCACACTAACAAATTAATAAAAAATATTTGTAATTCGCAACCACCAGGAAAACGCAAGAAAATCATAGAAAGACGAAAAAATAATGAAATTTGTACCATTTATCAAAGCAAGGAATCTCATGATTGAATAATATGATTTAACAACTCATTAAAATTTCAACAATAGTTATCACAAATGATTAATATTTTCTTAAAAAGACTTTTTGATTTTTGTTCTTAACCTTTTTGCCGTGGGTGGTATATTTAGACATCCTGAGCATAAATTTGCTCCATTGGCTAAGACTAGAATATTCAACCCCTAAATCCTAGATCTGTATAAATGGTGACCGAAGTTCTTATTTATTTGGCCAGGGTAATTCACTTTACCCTTGGCAGAAGAGGGAGCCAGGGTTGTGCCCCAAGATGCTCAGGAGTGTAGGTGGGGATATTGGATGATAAATTTTATTTGAAACAAAAACGTGTTTAACATTCTCAGAAGCACTAAAGAACTAGGGCTTAATAGACACGCAATTATGAGCTCGGAATTTTTAAAGGGACTGATCACAAAAAAAAAAAAATACCTTAGATTTTACATTTTAAAAAAATTATCAAGATCCAGTTAAATATTTCAAGCGTTCTCCTTTTGGGAGATTTTTTTGAACCAATTTTAATAGTGAGCTCCAAAAATTTCAGTTTCTGAAAAATACTAAAATGCCGTTTGTGCCTTTCTTTCACAAGATTTTTTTTTTTATCCAAATAATGTTATTTATGAATGAAAAATAATTATAAAATAATAAATAATATAATTAATTTAAGATACAATTTTAGCTTTAATTTTGTATTTTTTAAATGTATTTAATATTTCTATAAACAAGCAAACATAAAAAAATGCTAAATAAGTATAAATTGTATTAACATGGCTTTTGATAGGGAAACTTGAGAAATCAGTGTCTTTGTTCAAAAACGTTTTTCTTCTTTCAAA